TTCACTCACCCAGGTACTCAATTATTTAGCAACTCACCACTAAGCATCTGCTCAATGATGGAACGGGTGTGTGCTAAGTGTCAGGAAGAGGAACACCACCCCGTCTGGAGAGGAAGTGAAACGGCCTACTGACACGGGTACACACTCCGTAAAAATTCGTTGACTGGATGATCATTCCTGCCCTCTGTGGCCACCCTGGTCCAGGAGGAGGAGAAAGCCTGCCAACAAGTAACTAAAGTAAAACTGGTTGTGAGGTCATAGTACAGAAATCAATCAAGTGTTATATAGAAGACTGCACTCCCCTGGAAGTTAGGGATGGTTTGACAGAGCAGGTAACCTTTATTTGATCTTGAAGAATAAATAAGAATTTTCCAGGCAAGTTAAGTAGGAAAAGTCTTTCGAGACGGACCGATAACTACTCACAGTTCCTATTTTTAGCAGGATCCCGTCACTCCAGTCTGATCCTCCTTTGCTAACAACTAATATTAACACCTATTTTCCTGGGTTTCAGTCTTCTGCTTTTGTTCTCTAGGCAACAAGAAACTGGCAAAGTTAGATGCAAAAACGATTCTACAAAACATTGTTTTGGACAGAGTGGATGAAATTAATTCAAGGAAAAAAGAGGATGTATTGTCAGTTTCTTCCTGAGAAACACTTTAATTTCTCATAATTTCTAAGCCACATGAAAAAATATTGTTCCTAAAAATGGTCTCCCTATTACTTCTAACCTTTCCCCTGTGACACCTGGCCGAGGGCCCAGGAAGCGTCCTGGCCCCACACCAGACAGGTGTGGACTGTAGTGTGCCCACTTGGAGCAGATCAGGAGACCACCAGACATTGTACACACTGAGCCCGGTGGGCAGAAGGACTCGAAGTCGCCAAATGCAGTCATCTACTTTGTCATTATCAATTCATTAGTGATTAGCTACATTGAGACAATTCTTAATTGCATGACAGCATGGAAAATCATATTAAACGAGAGTGGAGAACTTGCTGAGCCGAAAGATTTCTCCAAATTGGAACTTGGAAAGATCTCTCATGTGCCGCAAGAGACATACATCAACACTGACATTCTCTGCAATGTTTTAGTGAGAAGGTTCAAGCATTTTGTTTTAAGAAGCTACTGGCCGAACGAGACCTGCCACTGCCACCCATGCTGATGAGGCACATTTCCCTGATGCTGTGTGACCTGTTCTGCTGCACCTGTACGTGGCTTTAACAACCCTGAAGGAAACCAGAAGGAATGAAGGGAGAAGGCTGAGAAAGAGAAGGGGCCAAGGAGCCCAGGCTTTCCCAGTGTGAGGATTTTGAACTCTGACCACGCTCGCAACTCGCTCAGCCTTGCAATCCAATTCTTATGTTTGCCAGCTTGTAACCACTACTGTGTTTAATAGAGGCTCATGGTCGATGGGTGTTTTTATACAAAGCTGCAGTTTCAAACTGATTATCAGGAATCGAACCAGCAAAGTGAAGCGACATTTCAGTGCTTTCATTTGTGATAACTGTATCCCCCACTAAACCAGGGAGCGGCAGACCAGAACAGCAAAAGATGGATTCTTCCCTGTCCAGTGTTGTTTTGTTTTCGGGGGCAGAGTTATGCTCTGAGGCTAATTTGGTCTCTGCCGGCCGTTTACTGACCACAGCTTCTCTGAGGGAATGTTACAAACCCACAGCATCCAGGATAATCTTTAGTAAGACAAGAGTGAAATGACATGTTCCAAAGCAATGGTAGATTAATCACGCTATTATCCCAGGCAAGGCAGAGTGAAAGACATAATCTCCAAGTTTGGCCAAAGTGAACCTGTTTCTGCCAGTGGGCACTCGGAAGAGCCTGTTTCAACCAACTGACTCCCAGCTGCTGGGACAAAATGAAAAGTCCCTTGTTGCTAGAACCCGTTGCTAAGGAACGACGTGTTGGTAGCCAGGATGAGTCCTCTGAGGAGCCACTGCATGGCTTACCACCACTGTCTACAAGGAGTCACCTTGCCAAGACAAGAGCTGACGCCCCAAGGGACTTTGAAGAGCTAGGTCAGCAAAGTCTACCTTGCCCAGACCACAGCTCTTGAATTGTCCTCACAAACTGTCAGCACTTACAGTCTAAATACTCCAAGTAAAACTAACACTGCAGATAACAGTGCTATGTGGCCACACTTGCTTCTTCACGTGGTATCGAAAAGCCCCGGGGGGGCCCTCGAAGTTGAGCTGCTGACGGCTTATCAGCAACAGATGCGACGATGACACCGACACCGCCTACTGTCCTTGTACCGAGACACCATTACTGGTAAAGACGACTTTTTCACTGTCTTTGTCATAAACAGGTGGACTGAAACCACTCCGCCTAAGTCATACACAAGCGGCTTTGAAATCATATTAAACCAATAAATAACATCTAGCGAACACCCATCACTTGTGTTCCATTTTTCTGCATAATGTAAGATTTTAGGTAATATGATTCTTCAAGAACTAAACAATTATCCTTAAAAAAATCACAGTGTTTCCCACATCGAAGGGGCTCTGTGACCAGAGGTTCGGGGAAATTGGGACTAAACTGAACTCACCAGGTTCCTCCACGACAGGTGTCCTCAGGCTCCTTCCAGTGCCGGGCACTGGGGACCTCCAAGTGGAAGTGTGTGCGATAGTGTTTCCCATTGGACCACAGACGCCATTTGGACGGAGGACTGTCCCACGGGGCCCATGTCCCACAGACCCCACTTCTGGAAATGCTGCTGCTCGAGTCTTTGCTGTTCTGGCACGTCCCGCATTGTCAATGGGGCACAGGACGTGTAAGAAGGCGACCCCCAGGGAGGAAGGCACAGCAGTAACGCACTTCCCTTCCCATGGCACCGCATCCCCCAAGTACCTACTGGGGGCAAAGCTCCTGGCACCACCCCTTTCCAAACAGAAGGGCCTCGCATACCTCCTGCCTGCCCAGTGCGTGGGGACGGGACTGAGCTGTTAGGGACTTGCGTCCAATCCTTTAAACTCCTCACCCCCACCTCAAAGCGAAGGAGTTTGATGGCCAAGTTACCTACCGACATTCTGCTATTACTTCTTACAACCACTAATCAGAAAACCCTGGAAATACGGATTCTTACGGGCTTTTTCCCACTGAGGTGAAATTCACATAACATAAAATTCACCTTTTCAGTGGTAAGTAGTATGTCCCAATTCCATGACACTTTCCTCGTCCCAAAGGAAACCTCATTCATACCAAGTTTCCTCTCCTCCTCCCCGCAGCTCTCGGTAACCACCAATCAGCCTCCTGTGCCTACTGCTTACCTATTCTGGGCAATTCATATAAATAAAGTACTACAATGTGACCCTTTGCATCAGGCTTCTTCCAACTGCCGTCATGTTTCTGAGGTCCATCTACGCCGCAGCACGTGTCCCTGCTTCACTGCTTTTTATGGCCGAATGCCTTTCCCTTGGGCAGACACGCCACCTTTTGCTTACCCATTCGTCCCTTGACGGACTTGGGTTGTTGCTGCCTTCTGGCTAGTACGACAGTGCTGCCGTGGACATGCGCGCACGAGTGTCTGTGTGGGGTCACCTGTCTCCACTTCATTCAGGTAGACACCTAGGAGCAGAATCGTTAGGTCGCAGAAGTACAGTTTTGCCCCTGCAATTTTGTGGGAGCCTCCTGCAGCAAATCCAAGAGTTCCTATGATTTCTCTAGCTCGAAACACAGTTTTTAATGCCCCTGAAAATGATGCGTGTAAAATGCACTACCCACAGGGAGCTTAGGGAATGAATTACTGAAGCAAGTTTCTTTGCTACACACCTATTTCTCCCATGAATAACTCTCATTTTCAGCAGTCATCTGAGTTTCTGTTACTCAGTTGTATAGTTCCTGTTGTCTTCTTGGCCAATAAGCATTTTCACAAAGACAAGAAGTAGAGATGCCTTTGGGAGCTCTATGATTGGGATGTGCTGCACTCACATGACAGCAGAAAACAATGAAGATCAGCTATTCTGGAAAGATTTCCAAATCTCCAGAGTTGTTCTGCAGTCAAAGAAAGCACTTCACTGGTGTGCATGTCTCTGACAAGCGCTAATTACTGATTAAATACTGCTGAATACACTGAAAACATGAAACCCGAGCACACTAATGAAGGCAGAGAACTCAAGCACAGTTCTCACCTTCCATCCAGGTATCCAAGCCCTTAAACTAAGCTTCATTCTGAAACCATTTTTATGTAAGATTAAGAAAACCTTGGCTGTCATCTAATTATTTTGCTCGAGATGAAGGATTTACTGAGTTTACATTTCCTTCTGAGGGAATGAGGTCTATCACCAAAGGAACAACTGGGATTCTCACTCAAGTGAACCTAAATTCTGAAGTGTTATTATTTATTTATTCACTGCTATGATTGGCAGTACAAACATGCAGCAAATGTCTTCTTCTAATTTTCGACTGACTTTGAGGTGTTCCGAATAACATGGACATACAAGCCGAGGAGATGAATATATTAGCTATGGTGCAGGCTGTTGGATTTAACATTAACAGTAGTAATTCTGAGGACTGGTACATCTCGATCAAATATAGCTATGATAAATGACATCAAGACAATTGATGTGCGGTATTTCCAGGATCTTCTGCAAGTGTCCTTTAAGGTCGGCAGGGGGGTCTAGCAGACTGCTGTTCTAGGGCATATGTGTGACTTCCCTAAACCAGACTGGGGTGGTATTCTGCTTCTCTTACCCACTGACATCTCAGGGACCAAAGAGGGAAACCCAGAAGAACACCGTTGTGGCTTGCAGCTGCGGCCTCACAGACGAGAAGGCATTTTTCCACACAGCGAGGTTAACCGATCTGGCCTGATTCTCTGACGTCATGAGAGGCAGGCCCGCGGGGGCGTGTGTTGGCTGCATCGGTTTCTTGGCAATTCACTTAGCCGTCACCCTCTTTTTTATCCCCCCAACATCAGTTCTCTAGATTTTGACCAAAACTTCTGTGAGATATGAATTTTTGTGCCAAATTTTAATTTTATATATGTTTAAATAATAAAAATAATACCGGAATACATGTTCAAAGTACAAAAAATACAAAGGAATACAGAACCAAAAAAAATGAAAACTTTTTATTCAACTTGCTCTCCTGTCCCCACCCTCCAGCTCCACTTCCCTCGCCACAGATAAGCGCGACTGGCAGTCTGGGCAGCCCTCTCCGAAGTGCGTGGTGACGGACATAATCACAGGGACAGAGATGTCAAGGCAGACTACAAACCAAGCACTAAATAAGAAACTGCACTGGAACCACCTTCCAGGCTTACTCTCAACCCGAGCATGCAGGTGATCTGTCCGACATCCTGAGAAATGACTGCTTGTTGGAGCTGTATAATGTATTCTCCCCTCTCCAAAAGAAAACCTATTTCTGATTTAATATATTGTGGCATGCTCCCCTGTCATTTCCTAGACCGTAAGCTGGGAACAGATATAAATCCCACTATGGCCGATAAAACCCATGCAGAATTCCATACGCTAAAGCACTTTTGAATCTCTAGTCAGAGTTCAAGGACACGCGCATCTCAGTAAAGCAAGGTAAGCCAGAAAAAGTCACAGTGAGAAAAGGATCTGAGAGGCTGTGTGAAGTGTGGGGAGATCTCGACTCTGGCTGCACCACTCAGCACGCATTTATTATTCATCTACACTGTGGTAATCACTGAACCTATACAGAAATAGAAGGTGTGGTCCCTATCTCCAAAGGATTTGCCGCACCTGAAAAATCAGACCAGCTGGGCAGAGTGTGATCAGATAGTAACGGCTTGCATAAAAGCCTGGCCTCGATAAAGCGATGAACAGACAGCTACTGAAGGTTTCTGCCCAAAGGAGTGATATGAGAAACAAATTACAAGAACTTATCTTCACTCCGTCCCATCCCTTCATTTCCATTCCCTAACTACCATCCCAGTGCAAAGCTTTCATGTCCCTGCCTATTGCAATGAACTAGTATCCAGTACGTACCCAATGTCCTCCCAGGCCATCCCAGCCAGAACCACAAAAACAAGTTTCCAAAGGTCCAATGGCTCTCTGCTCAGCAATCAAAACTGTCGTCCCTTTGACCACCAAATAGTCTGAATCTGTAATGCGAATTTCAAAGTCCTTCTGCAAACTAGTAATCTTCTAGTCTTACTTCCCATTTCCTAACATGAACCACTGGCTATATTGAAATTGAGCTGCTCACCAGTCTCCAAACCCACCTCTGTACTGCCCTCAGTGATGTGTGTCCTTACCCCACCTCTACCGAAAAGCAGAGTCAGGGAAACCAGGCAGGAAGCTGTGGCCGTAAGCCAGGTGTGAGGCGATGCCTGCAGGGAGAGGGTGGGGACCATGGGAATGGAAAGAAGGGTGGATACAAAGTGTTCAGCACACTTAGTACTGACAGGCTGACTGAATATGAGGTTTCAAAAAGACGGGTAAATTGGAGGCAAGTCACTTTAGGTTTTTAGGCAGCACGTGGAATTCTTTCTCAATAATGACTACTTCCACATTTTTGTAGTCATTGGTGTATATTTATTTCATACTGCTTGTATAACCTGGGACCGCACTGAATTAATAATAATTCCTCTATACTTTTGGTCACTAATATATTTATTTAAAACACACAAGCATAGCACATCCATTTGTTAAGAACTGACAACCATTCTCCTATCACTCATGTTGCATACACAGTTGTCATACTGTTGCCCAAGGGATCCTAAAAACTGTAGTGTGAAGAAAAGAAATCTAAGAAAACAATGACAAAAACATCAACGCTTTTTTCAAAATATGTGTTTCAAAAAATGTGTTCAAAACAGTGACTTTTACAAAAGATGCAAATTTGTTTTAAATGAAAAAAGGAACGCTCTCTAGGAAAGATCAATGACATTTCACAGATAATTCATACTGCATCAATGATTTGATTAACAGTATACAGACAAGGACCAGAGACTTTTTAAAATTAGGTCTGAAAGATCGATATAAATACCAATGGGGCGAGTTGTTTTTTACCCCAAACTCCAACATTCCAGCTCTGTGGCCTGTCCCATTCCAATTTGTAAAAAAACCCTACCGATGCAGTGATTCAAGTTTTCGTAACTTCAACGACGTGTGAGAGGACAGTGCATCTTGGTTTGAAGAATTTGTTGCATCCGAAGTCTGGAACAGCACTCTACCACGATGATTAAATACATAAAACGACGGGTGATTCCTTAACGTGTCAAATGTCTTATTTTTCAGTTCCGAGGTGGCATCCATGTCTTTAAACTCCCCTGCAATGTGAACTATCCCATAGCAGGTAACTGCAAAGGCCAGAAGTATCTGAAGAACTATATCTATTGGCAGTGATTCATCTTCCTTCTCTGTTAACCGCATGTAAGAACGATGCTGCGCAGCAGAAAAGGCTGCATGGGCTAGGGCAAAAAGGCCGATGCCCACCAGCCCCTTCCACAGTGATGGCACCATGACGCTGGAAGAGCAGCAGCCCACAAAAAGCGGCAAAGGGTTTTATTATTGTTGTTAATGACACCAACTGACTTTACGAGACTAAGCTATTTGTCCTGCAGAATGTTTCGATTTTTCCTCTTAGTGTCACTTTTTGTCTTCAATCCTGTAGATCCTGCTTATGTTGAAGTTAAAGATTTTTGGATACAATACTCACAGATGAGGCTGAAGACACAGTATCAGGCTGGCAAGGTGGGAGGGGCCAGACTCTTCCACTGTCATTCTGTTTCCCCCTTGATGACCAGCAAGCAATCCCTAGGGAATAATCATGCACATGTTAACATTCTGTTCCCTAGTGCCCTTTTGTGAACAATGCTGGCATGAATCAGTTATTAGGGTCTGCAAAATACTGATTTTCTATCATTCCTTTTACATTATTTGGCCGGCATATTTCTGTAGGAACTATTTCCACATCAACTGGGGCTACTTGATTACTTTGCAATACACATGCAACTAGAAGGCAGGTGAAATGTTTAATTCCTTTTCCTCCATTACCACTTTCCAGAGTCAAGAGTTGGTGTCATAGTTCCCACCAGTAAGTAGCATGAGAAATGGGGGGTTTCAAAAGTTGGTTTTTTAGATTATGCTCACTCCTTTTGGGGAATGACTTTTATATGACATGTTCAATCAAATGCAGTTTTGAAGTTCATATTGTTCTAACTTTGGCCAGTGGACATTCCTTCAAGCTGGCTCCCACGTCCTTTTAAGAAGGACCTCGTTTTACTTGGCTACTTCCTGACTTTCTGTCACCAGGCTTTCCAAGCACTCACTCATTCCCAGCTCTCAATGTGGCCGCAGCCCTTTCCCATAGGAGCCCTGCTACTTCTTACTGGAGAATATTTAGAGGTCAAAATCTGGTTGCCAAGAATATTGCTTCTAGGCTCTGAGTTCATATTAATTTCTCCGTTTCAAAGTTAACAATATAGAGTTTTCATTGTTTTCATACTCCTGTAATCTTATTTTACAGTAGAGTTTTTGCACTTAATGACATTCACAAATTACTCTTTTAATACTTACAGCAACGAGGAGCGTAAGAATTTGAACTGGGAACGGCACTTCCGTTAGGGAAGGGAGCCCGAGACATTCAGAGCGGCTTCTCCAGGAGGCAAAGGTCCCTAGAAAAGATATCAAGCAGACCATGTGGGCTGAGGACACGGGAACCAGCGTGCGGGGTGAGCAGACCCTTCCTGACAGATTCCTACAAAGCGGGCCGGGGCTAGCTGCCGGGGGAGGAAACCGTCATAGCCGGGGCCACTGTCTCGGCTCAGACCTGCCCCAATCCCCCTAAAGTGCACACACGACCACGTACTCACACTCGCCTCCGCTATACACACCTAGAGTAAAAATTCCTGCCTGGGACCCGCACGCCACGACCCCACTACAAGACCACGCGACCTGACCAGCCGCTGTGAAGAGCCCGCCCATCCGCCAATCAGAGGCAGCCTTGACCATGGGGACGGGACAAAAGCGAAGCGTGTCCAATGAGAAATCAGAACCCCGTGGCCTCAGGATAGAGCATTTCCGAGTCTAAGAGGAAAGTGCAGAGGCGGTGCTGCAGTTGACCAATCAGAAGGGGTGGCTTGCAACGTTGGGACCTACAGCCAATCAGAAGAGCACTCTCCGCTGACTCCGGAGACACACACTTCTCTCCTATCCCCGAAAGCTGGGGACAGTGGCGTTGTGGGGACCTCTGAGTTGGTGTTATCCCCCACTACGCTGCACTCGCCGTTCTCTCCTCATACCCTTGCTGCCGACGCCCCGGCCGTGCAGCGTCTGATGGGTCATGGCGACCTCGGGCTTCAAGAACCAGCAGAGCCAGGAGGAGACTTTTTTGTACTTCGCCTATGGCAGCAACCTGCTGACCGAGCGTATCCATCTCCAAAACCCCTCGGCCGAGTTCTTCTGCTTGGCCCGCCTGCAGGTCAGTGCCCCCCCCCCCCCGCCCCGTCTCCACTCAACAGTGGGTACAACGACCTTGTACCCACTCAACAGACAGGGGGCCAGGCACTCAGCTCTTCCCGGTAAGAGTTGGTCTTATCTTCTGGCCGCTGCCCTCCTGGGCAAGCCCACCTGGTCCTGTTGACTCTATGCTTGACTCCTACTGAGCAGTTGCTGCCACCCCAGCAACAGTGCCCCCACAGGCTGCGATGACTCCCCATCTAACGTTCCTACAAACTGCTCGTACTGCCCAGATCTGGCTTCCTCTCATCCACCAACTCAGGGGCATCTTCACTGAATCCATTCAGTTGATACTTCTGAGCTTTCTCCAACCCAAGTCAGGGAATTGGTTGTTTTCAGTTATATACATACCTTTGCAGCTGGACTGGTCACCTGGTATTGTAATAATCTGTTTACCTACCATTTACTCCCCCCAACCTGCCACACTGAGAGGCCCCGAAATCTGGAATCGTGTCTTATTCTGGGTGAGGGCTGTGCTCAATTAAGTGGCTGGATGAACGGTAACCCATCTGTGGGGGAAAAAAAATCACTGCTCTTCATTTCATTCCATTCATGCATTAGTACATACTCTTCCAGGGCTTACCTGGAGACACACAGATGACTGGGTAAGCTGGCTGCTTTGAGAGCCTCCTAGGCTATAGGAGAAACACGCAGGCAAATTGCTACAAAACCGTTTGGCATGCTGAACTAGACAGACATGGCCTTTGCTGTCACCAGGGTTGCAAACTAAGGTTGCAAACAAAAGGTTGCAAACAAAAGAAAGTGGCTGATTTAAGCAGAAAAAGAACGTATTGAAAAGCTGTTGAAGAGCTCACAGAGTGACCAGGAAGTTAGGACCACGAAGTGCATGAAACAGGCAGGCATAAAGGGAGGCCAGCACCTGCAGTACAGCCAGCACCACAGAAGCAGCCAGGAGGCCACTGCCGCACCCCTGCTGGACTCGGGAAACGTGAACACTGCCTCTTGCATCACGAGCACCACCTGCTCTGGACCCTGCCTGCTGCTGGCACTACACCCCTGTAGCTCCTGAAACCCAGATATGTCTGCTACCCCCCAGGGTGGAGTTTCTGCTGACCTTGGTGGGCACAATTCAAAGCCTCAAGGGGTTCCCGCACTGGCTAAGTCTTGGCCACAGTACTCTGACTGCAGGCAACACTGGGAGAACCAACTTCTGGTGTCCAAAGTTTCAGAATTGGGAGTCGGACTCTGGCACACTCAACCCTGCCAGACACGTAAGACAGGGAATTCCCCAAATGTGGAAAGGGAGTTCAGATACTTCTAGATGAGATGAGAGGAGGAGCTATCAAGCGAATGGTTATTCAGTTACAGGTGTGGTTAGTCTTAAAAAGGAGACATGTTGTACCTTCCTCTCAATTTTGCTGTGAACATAAAACTACTCTAAAAAAAGTGAAGTTTTTAAAAATTTTTTAAAGGAGACGGACAAGGCGCTAGCTATGAAAGTGTAACAGGGGTGTCCAACCTGTGTGTGGCTCAGGATGACTATGAATGCAGCCCAACACAAAATTGTAAATTTACTTCAAACCTTTTTTTGCTCATCAGCTTTTGTGTTTGTGTATCTCATGTGTGGCCCAAGCCGTCTTCTTCCAGTGTGGTCCAGAGATGCCAATAGGTCAAACACCCCTGGATGACATGTAGACCTAACCTAGCTGGGTTGATCAGTAAAGCTCTTCTTGAAAACATGGTTTTAAAGCCGAGACTGAAGGATTGGGGGAGGGAAGACACAAACCAGACAAGGGATGGTGTGTGCAAAAGACCTCGGGAGAGAAGCTGGATCATCCAGTTAGTGAGGCTGGAGCCGAGCATTCGAGGAAGACGCAGCATGAGGACTGCAGGGGTAGCGAAGGGCCATGTGTTGCAGGACCCCAGGGGCCAAAGAAGACTTTGGTTTTTAACTTGAGAGCAATGAGAAGACCCATTGTGGAAGTTAAGCAAACAAAAGTCAGATATATATCTTCAAAAACGCATCTGGTTGCTGGGAAAATGGGTCGGAATGAGGGGAAACTGGATGTGGGAAGCCCAGTTAGAAAGGTTTTGTACAGCCCATACTGAAGATTATGGTGCCTTCGGTGGTAGCAGTGGATGGGAGGTTGGTTTGGGAGATACTTACAAGGTAACACTGTCTTCTTCTTGGTGACTAATTACAAAGGGAGGAGGAAATACTAGAGATGACTCAGGTCATTGGTGTAATAATAGGGTGGGTGATGGCGAACAATTGCAAAGGGAACAATAAGGTTTGGGAGGGAACATCGAGCTCAGTTTGAACAAACTGGGTTTGAGGCGCTTGTTTCACATCCAACTGAGCAGAAAAATATTAGTGAACATTTATTAAGGACTCAGTATGGGCCGGGCCTGTTCTAAGCACTTTCGAAGCTCAGAGAGAGAAAGATTTGGGCTGGATTAAAAGATGACTGGAATGTTGGATGGTAACTGAAGCTATTGGAGGGGACGAGGCTGGCTTGAGCAAAGGGCTGAATGAACAGAGAAAAGGGCCTAAGCTAAGCCCTCAGGAGCCCTGGTCTGAAGACCACGTCATGGAGGAGGAGCCGGCACAGGCACCAAGGAGATCAAGGGACAGCCCAAAAGTCAGGAAAGAGGGACACGAAGGCAAGGTGGCTAATTGTGTCGGGAGCAGCCGAGAAGTAGAACGAGACAAAAAATGAAAATCGTCCCTTGGATTTAGCAGTAGACAACCAGTTCCTAGTGTGGTTGTAGCTTTTACCAGATCCGCTGATGGGAGGCTTGGTCCTGGAATATCCGATATACCAGCTGAAGATACGGGTCACTCAAAACAACCATTTCCCTAAAGTGTCTGACGAGGTTTTTAAGAAAATAAAGGGGATGAAGATAAAATATAAACCTTAGACTTACTGTCTAGTCCAACCATTTTTATTTTATGATCAAGCAAGCTAATTTTAGAAAAGATGGAAAAGAAATCTTCCCAGACCAAACAGCCAAGTAAGAATGTTTACGCTTCCACAGGACTGTGCCCTTTTTGTGAGGGAAAAAGCCACACCCAAGACCTGGCTCCATTGCTTATTAGTGGTGAGACCTTAGACAAGTTGCTTAATTTTTCTAAGCCACAGTTTTTCTTGCTGTGAAATGGGCACAGTACGGTTATTATGCAGGACAAAAATAAGCCTATATGAAGTTCATAGCACAGCATACAGAGCCCAGTAATTTTCCGGTATGTGTTGGCTGCTTTTATGATTATTATAAGTATATTAGTATAATTTATGAATATTAGATTAGTGTTCATAAGTACACAAGTCACCCTCCAATGCCAGTTCCCTTAGGGCAAACACGGTGATGAGCACTAGTGGGATGCTCTTTACACACACAGAGGTAGGGAGAATGTTACCACCCCTGGGTAGCTTTCCCCGTGTCAGTAATACACCCTGTGATCGCCTCTGAGTTAGTCTACGGGCAAGTAAACTGGGGTGTAATTTTCAAAAATGAAAATAGTGGCGTTAAGGCATCAGGATTAAGGGATTTTTCTTTCCCCTTAAACCTTTTGGTTATGGTGATATACATGTACATACTCAGTATATATTTAATTTTTTAAAGAAAAATATGAAAAAATACATACAGTCCTTGAGATCTGGGTTTTTGTTTATCTTTGTATTTTCCACAGCTTCTTACACATAGAAGGAACTCAAAGTTTATGTTTTAATTGCATGAAGTTCAAGGTAAATCTCTCTTCTCTTGAGGAGGAGGAAAAGTTTGGTTCACAAGGATATTAATCGTATCACTTTGGGTTTTTTTATAGGATTTTAAGCTTGACTTTGGCAATTTCGAAGGCAAAGAAAGTGAAGTTTGGCACGGAGGTATAGCCACCATTTTTCAGAGTCCTGGCGATGAAGTATGGGGCATAGTATGGAAAATGAACAAAAGCAATTTAAGTTCTCTGGATAAGTAGGTGGTTTCTAATTATGCATTAAATAATTACAAATTCCAAAAGTGGATCATATGCAAGGATGTATATATGCACACACACACACACACACACACACACATATATATGTTGGTTTTTCAAAACTATGTATGTACTACCTGTTCTTTACACTTTAGAGTTAACATAAAAGATATACTGTGTGTGCCCTAAAAATAAAAGCCTAGAAGGGTCGCATTTTCTGATTGAGATTTGGGGGTGATTGTGTGATCTCTTCTGTAAAAGATGGAAGTCCTTGTTTCCTTCTATTTGTCTTATAAAAATGTTCGTAGTTTCATATGGTGAGAAAGCATGGAGATGTTAATAATTTTTGTTACACGTGTTTATTGATTTCAAAAGCAGTTCTGCTTTTCTTAGAGCCAGTTTTTACAAACTAAATCTTTACAGTGGCAGTTGAATGTAAAAGTCAATGATAATTTGTAAAAACTTGAGCAACGTATTAAGAATGCTTTGCTACTTTCTACTAAAAGTCAACTAAAGCAGGATTCAGCTAAAACTGCTCCCTGTGGCATTCCCAGGAGGCATGTGCAGAGCGTTTACTACGGAGAGAGTGGGTGGGAAAGAGTAGGACTTGGAAGAGCAGATGGCCCAGCGTGCCTGGCCCTGTGGCTCGCTGTGAACGACAGTGAGTCATTCTCTCCACTCTTGTCTGGCTGGCCATTCTCCTGCTGTGAGAATACACCGTCCATCTTCTGTGGCCTAGAGAGCAGTGTTTTGGGGCAAAAACACGAAAATAACTGCGCCGAAGCATGTTTTTACATAGGATAACTACAGAGATCTGTTCGAAGTATACCAAGTAGTAATAAGTCTCCGGTTTTCAGATTGAAATTCTGTTTACTTTTGAGGAAGTAAAACGATGTGGAATATGTTCTACGTCCCCAAATATTAATACATAGGGAGTGAATACATCCATATATAGTTAAATTCTTAATTCAGTAAACTCACTTGGCTAAGTCAAGTACGGTTAAAATTTGGCTGCTCTGGTTTCAGGCAAGAAAAAGCATATGTCCCAATAGAAGTTACTGTTTGCACTCAAGAAGGAAAAGAGATAACCTGTCGAACTTATCAGATGAGAAATTATGAGAGCGCTCCTCCTTCACCCCAGTATAAGAAGGTAAGCTACGTACAAAGATTTTTGGTGATTGCTCTTCATTTTCACTGAACTAAACTAAAGATGAATCTTGTTTTTAAAAAGCGTTGTGTATTTTAATTCTATCTGAACAATTCATTTTAATCAAAAATTTTGAATACAAAATTAGTTATTTACCTGAAGTGCAAATGTTCAGATTTATTCGTAATGCTGGAAGTATGTTCCTAAGGGTTTGTTGATTAAAAAAAGGCTTTTAGAAATACGTATGAGGCACAATTCCAGACACGTATTTTGTTCATACACACAGGCTTTTGTAACAGGATTTTTCTCCACAAAACATGAACACCAAGGTTAATTGTAATGGGGAAAAATGCATTTCCTCCTGCTGAAATGTTTTCCATCCCTACATAGAGAAACAAAAGTCACACTGCCTTTCAGGGAAACCACCCCCCACAAGCACAGGAAAAAAACAGAGACCCTCAACGTGTCTTTTCAAAAACTCCAGCTTAGGTATTGTTAGAAGGCCCAGTCAGGACCTGGCATCAGGAGGGGGTGACCCAGCAGCTGGGCCTGCTCCGGAATTTTCTAGCACGGCACCCAGAGGGTCAGCCTGGTACAGGTCTGGGGAGGACCACTGACCAAACAGAGGTAGACTGGACCCTGGGTTCAACTAAAACTGCTCCCTGTGCATTTGAACTTTTCTCAAAGAATGATTTCTTAGAAGATCATGGAAAGTCTATACAGAAAGTTTTCTGTCTTGATGTAAAAATATGTTAAATCATCCTGTCTAGTGAAATCGGCATTCCGGGGGATGGATGCTGTGGCTCTGAGAGCCCCGTGCACGGCCATACTCGCTGAGGAGGAATGACCGAGTCCCCATTCTGTTCTCTCCTCTTTTATTCGGGAGGCGATCTGGAATTACCCCCTGCTCTGACAGTGCAGATAAAGCCGCCTCACACGAAGTTAGACTACGTTCCTAACTAAAAGAGGTGTTTTGCTCCTTTTACCCCTCTTTAGGTCATCTGCATGGGCGCCAAGGAGAACGGGCTGCCCCTGGAGTACCGGGAGAAGCTGGATGCCATAGAGGCAAACGGCTACCGAGGACGGGTCTCGGACGATGTCGAGGACATTATCCGAAAGGGGGAAACCAAACTCATCAGCACCTAAGAGAGGAGACCTGTGGGTGTTTTCTCTACACACTCACTTGATGCATTTTTAACATGTAGAACAGGGGTCTGGGATGTGTCTCCATCTAATATATTTTGAACATTGCTCTGAAGGGATGTATTGCTTGAGTGGTTCCTTGTTTTCAGGCTGTGGGAAGAAGCTTGGGTGGGGGTTGGGCAGTTGCCAGGAGGACCAGGAGGCACCGAAATGCAGGACGAGTGGATGTGGGTTCTTCTTCTAAGAACACTTTTCTTTGCTTGACTTGACCTGAAGTGCATTCTGGCTCTGGGACAAAGGATAGATTTGCAACTTCATGGCAGTGCTGGTGACTCGCAATGCTCTGGAATTACTATTTTTGTCACCTTAAGAAGAGCAAGCAAACTGCAGAGACAGTTGGTAATAAAACTTTTTAGATTTAAAAGCTGGTATACTCTTCTCTGAGGAATACATGTGTCTGTGGTTTAACCTGTGTCCCCCCAACTCACCCCATTTCATTTTGTTGGGTTCGCATCGTCACACATGTGCATCCGCCCTGGGCTATGTGTAGCCCATACTCTGCGAGGGTTAGGGCGCAGGCCCCAGACAGCCCGGGGCCAGTCGTAGGTTCCACCAGTTTCTGGCTGGGAGGCTCTGGGCTATTTGAGTCTGTGCTTCCCCTGTGGAAGGAGGGCAGCCAAAACACCTATGTCTTAGGATTGCTTTGAGGGGTAAATATATGTCATGGCTGTAGAATAGAACCTGGTACGTCATAAGCATCAGCGATCATTGTCATTCATGTTGAAGAATCGAGTCTGTACAGCACCACCTTTGGAAGCAGGACTGCAAAGTAGGAGAGTCGGGATTATGGGGGAAAGTGTTTTCTGACACTGATCCTTGGCTTGGAAAGAAACGGTCACTCTCACATTTATTTGCTGAATCAACACAGGGAAGGGGAGTCACTTAGAAAACAATGCTGGTTATCAAAAACTGGCTTCCCTCTCTGTGAGGGGCAGAAAGCCGGACCTCCATAATAGTAACTGGGATGAGACAGAACTACCCGCAGGACCGCAAAATAAAGATTTGGTTTGTTCTCTTGGGAAAAAAGACCAAAGGACTTTTCAGCTCTGGCTGCGATTCCGCAGTGACGTTGAGCCAGACTCCAGGTCAGACCCTGTTATACAGCTGTTACACCTCTCAATTTCCGAGTATCTGCCCCCAGTATTCTAGTTCCCTCCAGTTCGTGACGCCTCCATAGAAGACCAAGTGGGTTGGTGACCTGGAACCCAGTCCTGGCAACACAGTGAGCAAGGCTCAGTTTTGCTGTAGACACTAAAAATTGAATATTACTTTAACAACTTAGCTCACCTAAAATGACAACTTTCATTAAAGAATTTAAAACACTAACAATAAAACTTTCATGTCTGGCCTTTAAAAAAAATCTCGTTATTATTACCAGACATAATTTTTCCAGTCACTTTCAAGGTGATTCTACCAAATGTCTTATGGAAGGGTGTCTGTTTCTACTGGTGATTTTGACTCTCTAACCACAATAGAAACCAGTCCCTGGATAAACCATAACAGTCACAGGTTTGTGAAAAGCATTTCCGGGCTTGCAAGCAAATAAAGACGATGTTCAAAGAGTGAATTCCTTTCCCACAAAACAGAAGAGAAACGGCAAGCTCAAAGGGTAGACAGTACTGGTAAACCAATGCTCCTGATGTCATTGGGTACAAATGCCGGTTACATCCCTGGAATTAGACTCAGCCCTGCTGCAGGACAGGAAAACCACCCGAGAATTCTCCGTGAAACTAGGACCCTTGGAGAAAACTAACACTGTTTACAGTCAGTAAGTCTTAGGGCTCCCAGCAGAGGCAGGTGGAAATCCTCTGAAGAAAGCAACCCTAACTTCAGTTCTCAGGGCGTCCACTTGAAAAGATAAGGAAAGTGATACATCATGAGTTGGAACAGAAAAAGCAAATTTAGCTTCCCAAGGTTCTGAGGTAATCGAAATAATCCAAAGCACTATAAATAAATATATATGGTGACTTTGGTTTCTGGGGCGATGAAGTGGACATTTCCCTATTCCTTGACTTCAGCGCAACTGAATTCCCCAAACATGCTGTGTAAAAAGACAGAAGACTGAAAGCTGGAGAGAAGGCAGACCTGCCAGGGGCCTCGGGACCCAGGGCGTGGCACGGCACTGCATCCCCTGGGTTTTCTTTGCTTCATTTCACTCTGCATTGTAGCTGAAGGAGCCAGCAACCCCAAAGCACCAAAGAGCACAGTCCCAAATGACGACAGTGAGAAAGCCTGCTGCCTAGCAAAAGGAGTAGGAACTATGATCTAGCAAGACAGAAAACTTAGAGGATAAATGCTGTATTGCGGCCAAACGATAGAGAAAAACTGTGGGACCCCTCCGCCTCCTCTAGCTAGCAAAGATCAAGAGGAGATTTAGACTTCAGCCTCACCAGGCTGTCACAGGGTACCCTAATCCAGTCCGCTGCCACCACTACCAGGGCACTACCAGAAAAGGCAGAGTAGGGAGCAACCAGCAGTCACAAGTGTCACCTCCCCCCGCCCCCATAATGACCTCTTTAACAGTGCTGGAAGTTCTAACCAGTGCAATAAGGCAAGAAAAGAAAGTGAAAGGCATACGGACTGGGAAGCAAGAGATGAAACAGTCTCTCTTTATAGACAACATGACGGTCTATGTAGAAAACCTCCAGGAACCTACCAAAAGTATCCCTTAGAACCAGTAAGTGAGCTCATCAGCAAGGTCACAGCATACAAGGTAAACACAGAAAAATCAACTGTAGTTTTGCTACTGGAACACACGGATGCTGAAACTGAAAACATAATAGTACTTATGGCTGCCTTTTTAAACCAACTTTCTTATTGAGGTGAAATTCACTTAACCTAAAGTTAACCATTACAAACTGAACAACTCAGTGGCATTTAATACATTCACAGTGTTGTGCGCCAGCTTTATCTACTTCCGAAATTTTTATCACCCCCACAAAAAGCCCAGATCGTTAAGCAGTTACTCTCATTCCTTCCTCCCCGCACTCCCTGGCAACCACCAATATGCTTTCTGTTCCTATGAATTTACTATTCTGGATGTTTCACATAAAAAGGAATCATGCAATATGTGGCCTTCCGTGTCTGGCTTCTTTCACCCAGCATCACGCCCTTGAGGTTCACCAACATTTAGCATCGTTGTCTTCAGGCTGTGCCGTATTCTGTTGTGTGAGTATCCACAGTCTGTTCATCCATCCAACCACGGGTTATGCATGCATCTGCAGCTGGGAATGTAAAGCGGCACAGCTGCTCTGGAAAGCAGTGGGGCCGTTTAAGAAACTAAACGTGCCATTGCCCCCACACCCAGGAGGTGCACTCCGGCACATTTCTCCGAGAGGAACGAATGCTTCTGTTCATGTGTAGACCATACATGGTTGCCTATAGCAGCTTTAGTTACAAAGGCCAAAACCTGGAAAAATGGGTTATTGAGAATGGTTCGGCACTACGTGTGGTCACACTGTGAAACTACCTACTCAGCACTAGAAAGGAAAGGACTATGTACTGACACATGCAGTGGCCTGGATGAATCTCCAGAGAACTGGGCTGAGTAAACCAAAACCAGTGCTCGAATGTTACATGCCGTGTGCTTCCATTTACATAACATTCTTGAAATGACAAGTTGCAGAAATGGAGAACAGCCTCACGGTTGCTGGTGGTTCAAGAGGGGGCGGTGCGGCACGGAAGGGCAGCACGAGGGCTCTCTGTAGTCCCGGAAATGCTCTGTATCCCGACTGTATCGACACCACATCCTGAATGTCATATTGACAGATGTCACCACTGAGAGAAACTGAGTTGAGGGAACATGGCTATTTCTGCATTATTTCTTAAAGCTGCATGTGAATGTATAATTATCGCAAAATAAAAAGTTAAAGGAAAAACAAATATTAATGCATTTAAAAAAAATGGAATCAGTGTAGGAGACTTAAAAAATGACCAAGTAAACTAGAAATAGAACCAAAAGACTCTTAGAAAGCCAATACATTATGGTGGAAGTTAAAAACTTAAATGGATGGTGTATTGGTTTCCTACTGCTGCTGCAACAAGCTACCACAAATTGAGTGACTTAAGACAAAACGAATTTGTTATCTTACCGTTCTAGAGCTCCGAAGTCTAAACAGGTCTCACTGGAGCTCAAGTCACACCATCAGCAGGTCAGCGCTCCTTCTGGAGGCTCTGGGGGGGGGAATCTGTTTCCTCCGCTGCTCCGGCTTCTGGAAGCCACACACGTTCCTTGGCTCATAGCCCCGCTCCTCCGTCATCAAAACCAGCAGCATCCGGCCACGCCCTTCTGGGGGTCGCCGTCTCTGATTCATCCGATTCCCTCTTCCTCTTGTGAGGACCCTTGTGATTACATTGGGCCCACATACAAATAATCCATGATCATCTTCCCATCTCACAGTCAGCTGATTAACACCCCTCACCCCATCTGCTACTTAATTCCCCTTTGCCATAGTCACAGGTTCCAGGTATGGGAGGTGGACCTCATAGAGGAGGTGGGGAGACTAGTCTTCCTTTCAATTATGTACAGGTTCAATTATTTACAAAATGAGTAATGAACAAAGGAAAAATGGAAGAAGTTACCCAGGATGTATCCAGACAAACAGCATATGGAAAAAACAAAAGCGTTAAAAAGACACGGAAAGTAAATTCAGAATCCTAGAAGTTCTTAGGAGGGTACACGGGAGGAATTAGTATCTTCAGCACCTTAATTTTGGGGCTCAGAAGTTTGCACAAAAGAGCCCATCAATTTTGCATTTGCAAAGTTTCACTTTCTAGTTATGAAGACAGCCTGTGATGGAAATTTCAGTGTTCATGAGCTCATGTGGTCTCATGATTGGATGTATTTTAGTGTGAATAAGCAACAATTTTGTATAGCATCCCTATGCCTAATGCAGACATTCCCCATTTCAAACATTTAAAGCATATTTTATGGGGGAAATTTATTGCTGTTAAAAATCCCTTTACAAGTCGTCACAGCATAATGCACAGAACGTAAAGTGTACAACTGCCAAGAACAGATTTAAAGGCCAGGAAGGAAAACTTAGATTTTAAAGTGTAACTCGAAATGTATGCTCTGTTGCGAAATGTTCGAATTCTCTGAGCTAGTATTCATCTGAGAGCACGGGTGGCATTTTAACAAGTTTCACTGTCCTGTGGCTGGGTGGGGGAGGGTATTGGTGGAAGAGGGCAAAGGGGAATAAAGGGTGGCAGAAGGTGGCAGAAAGAGACTTGACTTTGGGTGGCGAGCCCATGATGTAGTATGAAGATGATGTGTTATGCACTGGAAACCTGTATGGTTTTATTAACCAATGTCACCCAGTAAATTCAATTAATAAAAAATAGTTTCACTGTCATACCCAGGCGTTGCCTCCAGTTGCAGCTGCTGGGTTGGCACTTTTAGGGGGATGGGCCAAGGCTCATGGCGGTGGCTGGCCTTGGCCCAGATGGAACCACAAGTTTCCAAGTGTCACCCCTGGGCGAACTCTCAGGCCTGCCCACGCTCCCCTGCACGGCGGCTTGACCGCCAATGCACAGCAGGGAACGCCCGAGGCCAACTTACTGGCCCTCCCTCGCTCGGCGCGGGGAGTGGCTGCCCCCGCCTCGCCACCAGGCACGCCCGGGGCCTCCCCACCTCGCACCCAGAGAGAGGAGCTCGGCTGCCGCAGTCCGGCCACTTCCCGTTCTGGGCGGGCCGGCGGCGGCTCCTGCCCTGTTCCCCGCTCTGCTGAGGGTGCCGCGGGCACGGGGCTCGGGGCTACGACCTAGGTCTCGGAGACCCAGCCCGCGCTGCCTGCTCTACAAACCTGGAGGCCAAGTAAGTCCCAGCACCGGGGGCCGTTCACTCCGGGCAGTGCCCCGGCTCCGCAGTGCTGCGAGCGTGGGGGGCGGGAGGGAGGCGGCACCCCGGGGGTGTGCGGGCTGCAGGGCGGCTCTGAGAGAGCTCCCGGGGTGGGGGACGGGGGCAGAAACCCGGGATTTTGAGCAGCGCGAGCAAAGTTCAGAGGCAGGAACTTTGGCGGCAACAGAATTGTTGGGCCCCGGGGGTCTGGCCAGGGCTTCTCAATCCTGCCTGCACCTTCGAATCGCCGGGCGCTCTCAACATCCAGATGCTCAGGCCGCACCACACACCGATCCCTCAGAGTCTCTGGGGCTGGGACCCAGCCTCTGGATTGTTGAAAGGTCCGGTTGATGCCAGTGTCGCAGCCAGGGCAGCAGACGTCCCGGGGCTTCCTGCGTGGAAAAGAAGGGGAGACAGTTCCACGCAGCGTAGCCCGGATGGGGTGTTCAAGAGAGGCTCAGCCATTCAGTCCTGTGGACGTGGTGCAAAACAGAAGGAATGCCCTCTTGACTCTGCGTTCTGGGAAATGCCTCCATTACTGGCACTTCACATTAAGCTGAGGGCAACCTGTAAACCTGTGGCCTTGACAACTTCTGGGTTTTCTGCTTTAGGGATGAAGCCAGGTATGCTTGCCACAGGGCTCGTCCAGCTTGTCCCTCCTTCTGAAAGTAAATCAAAGGTTTACTGTGAGCAGAGAACCATAACCTCTCCCACGGATTTTGGAAGTGCCCAGGGCAGACCCGCCTCACCCTGGGGTAGGTGCTGGGGGCAGACAGCTAGAGACAGGCTTCCTCCGAATATGCAGGGCAGATAAGAAAGGGGGGTTTAAAACTAGCAACAACTGAGAGATGGGAGAGACCTGGACTTTCAGAGAATCTGAGAAGTGGTTTTTATTTTTGTGGACTGGAGAAATAAGGTCAAGCTCTGGAGTTCATCAAACGTGGGCCCAAATTCAGATTCCATCACCAGTGACCTGGGACCATGGGCAAGTGATGTAGCCTCTCCAAGCCCGTTTCTCACCTGTGTGACTTGGGTAGACATTGTCACTGTTCTGGGGCTTACGTGGTGAAATGAGACAACGCGTGTTCGATGCCTGGGTGGCAGGCACATGGCAGGGGCTGTCACAGGTAGTTTTCTGACACAGTAGCAGTGATTTGTGTTTGGCAATTGTTTATTTAGTATAGCCGCAATGAGGGAAAGTGTCTGAAAAGCGTCTCCCTCACAACACTATTCTGCTCTCCTCCTGCCCTGCTTGGGGTGGGGATGGGGGGGGTAGGCTGTGTGGCTCCAGGCTCGGGGTGCTTTGAGGTCTGGAATCTCAGGCTACTCCCCACCAAGAGGACTTATTAACGAATCTGAAATACAGTGTTACTCCGTGTAATAGGAATACATGTCTTGATAAATGAAACTGGCCCTTAATCTTGAGACACTCTCTGCCCTATTGACACATATGTCAATAAAATGGGCTCCCAAGAAAGCTGGGCCCATCTACAGAGTCTCAGACTGGACACATGGACACACGCAGGACGCTGCTGCTGGCGGCCTCCTTAGGCCACACCCCGGCCGTGGGAGTTTCCCCCCTGACTCTTGGCCTAGGGACAATGCATTCTTCTTGGATGACCTAGAGCAGTCAGGAATCTGGAGAGGGAGGGGACCAATATCCTACCATTGTCAACGCTGGCAGAGTATTTCACCCTGGTCTCCAGTCTGTGTGTCAGTGACAATTAGTTTGATAGTAACGGCAGCACCATTAAGCCATTAGAAATATAAGCAGTGACATAATATAGGCATAAGGTCAAGTGTTCTCAGTGTCTATGCAGTTGCTGACATTTAATTAAGAGACTATCGAATTCATGTTCTTTTTAATCCAAAGAAAAGAGTTCAATATTTCTTCAAAATCCAAGACATAAACCTTTGAGGTTTGTTTGAGTTACCAGTTTTGGGGGTTTTTGTTTTTTTTTAAATGATTCTCCTTTAGGAGGAGGGGATTTTAGGCAAGACAAAATTAGAAAAGCTAAAATTGTTACCTGTGCTGAATTTCTGTCAAGCAGCAGCGACAACATTTTGCAAGTTTCTGGGAGTCCTGTTCTCTTGTATCTTTTGGACAAAGTCAGTGGTGCCTCACACCAAGAGCCTCCTTTCATCCGCCCACGGAGTCCGACCTTGTTTTCAGGAAAACTCTCCGGCCCATCAGATGCCCGCCAAAGGCGAGCGGTTTCTCTGACCTTGACTCTCGCATGAAGAAGTGCATCGTCGCTGCCATTTCAAAGAACGGATGGCTTTTACCCAGAGCCAGAAGTTTGTCACAGTGAGACTTCCTGGCTGGAAGTTCCCATTCTTGTGTTTTATCCGGGACTGCCACAGACCCAACTGTCGGCAGAAGTTGCGAGCCAGAGTCAGCCAAGGCAAACTTGCTGCCGCCACCACCCGCCTTCGCCATCCTTCTGGCCTCTGGAGCCACTGAGCCAGCCGGGCTGGGGGCCCTGCCGCTCTAAGCGTTGGCTCTCTGATGGGGCCCAGTGCCCTAACAAGGCAATTTTGTGTTGCCCTTCATTAAAATCAATAGGGTACCCCTAGTAAAAATGCCAATTTGGAATTTGTCTTGCTGAATAGTCATGTTCCTGCAAATTCTAGAAAACTATAAGTTAGAGAGTAATTAATAAGTCCACAGGAAGGCCCAGGTAACTGCAAAGTGAGCACCAGATTAGCACCAGGTTTTGGTTGGTTAATATTTTAATAAAACACGAAGTCCCCCTGTGATGTCGTTGCTTCATGATGCTGCGATCCCTCGCCCTTCTGTCTCATCACCACCACACAGGTTGGGGTGGAAAAGGTGTCAGGATTGGTAGGTATTTTCAGAGCCACATGAGACCCTGAAAATATCTGGGTAGGACAGTCACGTATTGCTATGGAAAAGCCTTCTATGATAGAAGATCTGTGAGCAGACGCTGATTTACATGAGAAAATGTTTGTGTTGTTCTAACTCCCAGAAAAGAAAAGTCGAATGACTAAGGACTTCCTGTGATTTGTTTCAATTCATTTCCCAATTGTTGTCTCTGACCCCCAAACCAAACCCTCTAGAAGGAACTGGATGGAAAACTAGGCTTTTATTGGGGGAATTTCGTAACTCCTTACAGTTCAGGACAGTGGATGGGTTCGGCCACGCCTGGACTCCATTCAGAAAGGACACAGTTTTACATTTCACAGGAACGCAGGCCCATGGATGTGTCCAGTGGAGACAAAAGACATGTAGTGAATACCAGACAGGCAGGCCTCTAATGGGAGAAACCGTGGGTTTTGGTGTCAGGACTGCTTTATTCCTTCACTGACTGCTGGACCTTGCCAACATATTTAACCATTCCCACCCCGTGCCTCCTTTGTGAAAGAGTTACCATAATTCTTTCCTTAGAGTGGTTTTGAGCGTCTGATGAAATAATCGATATAAAGCGCATAGCGCACCACCTCGCTTTCGGTGAACCACAGTTACTGTGGTAATATTGGTTATGAAGATTACTTGGGTTCAAGCACCAGCCTTGCTGTCCCCTGGTTGTGTGGCTTTGGATAAGGCACTTAACCCCTGGCGTCCGGTTTATAACTGTACACTGGGGATGACCCCACCTATCTGGAAGGGTTGGTTTGAGGCTATAAAGGAAAGTGAATGATGATGCGCCTGACCTCATGGAGTCTACCAGACAGACAGACCCTAAGTAATAGCGGCAAACCCTTACAGGACCTACTGTGTGCAACACTGTTCCAAAAGCTCTTAAGTTTGGGTTTTTCTTCCTTTTTTTCTAGCTCATTCAATCACCCCAACAATCCTATGCAGTTGTTATCATTTCCCCCATTTTCATGGATTAAGTAACTAGCCCCAAGCCCACACATACTGAGTGTTGCACCTGAGATTTGAAGCAGGGTCCCAGTGGCTAACTCAGCGAGTGCGCTACCCTCTGTGCTCACCTCCCTCACCTTCTCACGCTCCCTTCCCGTCGTTGAGAGGCAGATGTGTTTATCGAGCTGTATTTCTGGACATGGGGCCTCAGCTTCTGAAGCACTTCCTGCTTATGAATCCATCCCAGGTTTGCAACTTTTAACCTCAGCCACTGCTTATGCTGGATAATCTACTACCCCCTGGGTGGGCTGCGGTAGGGTAGGGGAACTCTGCTATTGGTATTGACTAACATTGTTAAAGTGGATTATGATGTTTGTCTTGAGATAAATATCCTCGGAGTGCACTGTTAGCCTGGTGGAATAACACATACCTCACAGGTGCGCGGGCGGTATTTGGGAAGACAGAAACTGGGCTTGGCGGTTCCTGGGATGGGACTCAGGTGAACACGAGAGCAGCCGAACAACATCCCATCACAACTGCAGTGGCCTGTTCCACGTACACTTGCTCCTGTGTAAAAACAGTTCCTTACTCACAACCCCTCTTCATCACCCTCCACCCCCGCCGACAGTTTTTGCCTCTGCTGGAGCTTCGACAGTTGTTCAAGAGCCCTGAGCCCGTGGAACTTGGGGTCCAGAAAGGCACGTCCTCCAGTTAGTGGGTTGTGGATGCTTTAGCATTTCTGCTGTGGCATGCGGCGATGGCTTTCCTGGCTTTCCCACAGGTGGGAAGGGCTCTGTCGGCTCCCCAGCCTGGCGCTGAATGAAGGCTATTAGAAAGTAGCTCCTGTCTCCTCCTGGCTCACTGTGGCTACAGTTCTCCAGCACATGGACTCCACCAATAGTATCAGGAGATGGTGCCGGTGCAGGGGTCTCTTAAGTGGTGAGGCATTGCCATGGATAGGACAGACCCGGCCCTGGCAAGTGGGAGTTTGCAGGTTCTTGGAGGAGGGAGGGGCGGGAAGCACATGAATGGTTTGCATAAGTGGGTAAGCCCCTTCGGTGAAAACAACACCATGGGTGAGACAGATTAGCAGGCTGTGCCGGGGTCAGGGAATCTGGGGTGCGCCTCTCCACGAATGAGCCTTTGCATCTAATTCTTGGGGATGAAGAGGCGTGGGAGCATGCCAGGCCCCTCGAGCAGCATGTCTGAAGGCTCAGCTGTGGGAACGAGGTGGGTGCAGAGACAGCTGAAGAATGAACACCAAGCTCAGGGCGCGCGGAGCCTCCTGGGCTGGGCAGGATTTCCTGTAAAGGGAGTAGGAGGCCTTAAGGAGCACAGCCCCTCCCCCCCAAATATTCTCTGCGTTAGTAACTTACAAGAAAAAGATAATTAACAACCCTTATGCCTAATGCATAAAACAATTCTGGAGACAGAAATGATGGTTTTCAGTTTCCACATGAAGGAGCTGAAGCACGGAGCAATGTGCAAGGTGGCAGGACCAGCGCTGGGAGGCGGTCTCCCTGAGCAAGCCCCCTCTGTGCAGTTTTCTGCGGCAGGTGTGAGTCACTGAGTGGGTCTCCTGGGTGCCAGCATCCGTAAACTGGAGCCTGGATGGGGGGATGGTTGCAGGTGGATCCCTGTCCTCCTGGCTCCTTGGAAACAGGAAGGAAAAGCCCCACAAAGTGAAGGGTGTCGGCATCCACAGGTACAAAGTGCTGTGGACCCTCCGGCCAAGGGAAGGGGTGTCAGACAGTTTTCATGCTAGTCTGTTCTCCCTCTGGCTTTAACTCTAAAGTCCCAAGAGATCTGATTTCCTTGCCCTGTTCATTTACTGGGGAATTTGCATACCGTTGAAAGGCACAGTTAGAAAAAAAAAAACTTCTTTATTTTCAGTTTTCAGGTCACAGAAAAAGCCTCCAAGCCGTGAAGGGCTGAGAATGTACCATGTATACTGGCTGGTTTTGGGGTGTCCACACTACCCGCTTCCTCATCCTTCATGTGAAGTTGTGAGAGGCCACAGCGGGTCAGTGCATCTTGGCCAGCTGAGCTGGCCTGCTCCTGAGGCAGCGCCCCACGGGGTGGCACAGGCCAGGGGAACTTGCTGCCTGAGGAGAACATGCATCTTCTTACCCTTTCATTGCCCCCCGGGAATCACCCTGACACATCCCAGGCATCTTCCAGCCAAGAGCAAGGGTTGAGCTGTGTCCCAGGCAGTTGCTGACTCTGGATACATGTTCAAGTGGGATGAATAAAAGTCTCAGGCTAAGTGTTTTGGCTATTGATCAGCAGAGTGTTTATTTCCTCCAGGCCAAGTGCAACACAAGCCTCTAAGGTAATTTACATGTTTTGTTCTTGTGGAGCGCCTTTCATCCCAGAAACCCCGACACCTTCTGTGTCGGCCCTGAACGGCATCTCCAGGTGTCCTGTGGCTCCCAGGCCTGCGGCTGTGCAGCCTTTCTTTCCCACAAGCACTCAGTCCCACTTCCAGACTTCCCGATCAGGGTTTCTGATTCAAGGCTCTGTGTCTTTCTTATTAAGGTGGTTGTACCACTGGCCCCTCAGAAGTGACTACTAAGCAGGATGTTTTCGGAACTTGGATTTTCAAAGCCTGGATAACACCAGGAAAATGACAGTCAACAAGTATATTTCAGCCCCTGTGCGGGGACTCTATCACAAAGCAGTAGATGACGCTGTACCAAGATAATGCTCTGGAAATTGAGAGCTGGGCTCTGGTTAAACTTGTTAAGGCAGCAGCTGATAGAATAAATGCCTTAGCACAGTAAAAGATGCTGGGGCCTGCGGATTGGAATTTATCCACTAGTAAACTCGGCAAGTGACATTCCCTAAGTGAGCCTGTGAACTCTGGAAATCCAATGTGTTCATTCCCCGAGCACTCTGCCAGGTTCACTCGGTTGACCTTTTTTACCCAGCATCCTCTTATGTGCTGGAGACCCGGTGACTAAGCCCATGGGCCCCGGCCCTCACAGTCAAATGCTGGGACTTGACGATGGACCAGACAGAAGTCCTGGCCTAGACCTCTGTCTCCTTGATCCTGATAAATGCTTGCAATGTGACCCGTGCTGTTCTAAGGGCCCGTTGTCCTAATGTGAGAATCCTCACAGCGATCCCGTGAGGCGGGCACTATTATTATCTGCCCTTGCAGAGAAGGGTGGTGTTTTTTTGTCCAAATCACACAGTGAGTGATTAGAGCCAGGTTGTCTGCGTGTAGAGTCTTCGTTTTTCACTGCCACCGTCCACCAGTGTGACGGAGAATTTAGGAAAGAAAGTAGCACATCCTCCGAGAAGGGTGGGGATAAAGAACCAAGGGAGTTTTAAGTGGGAGGGAGAGAGGCAAGGAGAGGAACAGGGTGGAGTCCCTGCCCTTTCCCCATTCTGACAGGTGTCAGCCCCTGGTGGGGGGGGGATGAGGTGACACTCTAGGCTGCTGAGGGAGCTGCTCTAACCAGAAGTAAGCAAAGGAAGCACTTGTCTCAGAGCCGCGAGGCCTGGGTTCTACTTGTGGTGGATTCTGTCCTTCCCAGGGCCTCAGCTTCATCGTTTCTAAAACAGGAACATTAGACACATTCTGTCCTATTCCAGAAGCCCTCGGTTTCAGCCCACGAGGGAGGGGCTGGCTCTGCACGCAGTCCACAGGGTTTCTCAGCCGGAAGAAATAGGTGCTTGGCTCTGAGAGACAAGGAGCCAGAGGCGCGTGACTTCCTCCCAGGGGGGCCCAGGCAGCTGTGGAAGGATGTCTGCCCCTCACTGCCGCCCGCCCGCAGGGTGTCCATCGGCTCTCTCTGCCTTCCGTTCTTTGTAGTCAGGGTGGCATTGTCTATACGGAGGTCAGACTGTGCGCTGCTTTGACAAGAGAGAAAAGCAGATAGAGAGCAGGAGGGAGAGAGCAAAAGAGAGAGGCGGAGGGATTTTTGTATCTGCCTTGTAATTCTGAGGAATTAAGTGCTTTCCGATTAAAGTAAATGAGTGTTAATGGAGCTTAACAGCTTCAAATAATGATTGTAGCCTTGTCCATCTGCTAAATTTTCTCCAGAGGCGGCCGTTAGTTTTCTGGTATGGCAGAGGCACACAGGACTGGGCTTATTTTCTAGGAAAACAAAACAAGAAAAAGGAATAGACCAGAAAAAAAATTCCACAAAAGACAAAAACCAACCATGAGAGACACGGTTCTATGCAGACCCAATGAAGAATGGTGGCAGCTTGAGTTGATTTAGTTTCTGAAGGCTAGGAGTGTAAAGGAGCTAACACTGTGATGGATTGTGCAGCCGGGAAGGGCAGACCTGCTCTGAGCCAACGTGCTGTGTGTGTTCGTTGCACTGCTCTGTCCTGGCATACGAGCGTGCTCGATGTCCGCTTGCTCTTCGATCGTCTTTGGACTGCATTAGTCCATCCACTTTGCTGTTGGGCAGCTTGAGAGTGGTAAAGCCAGGCTGCTCAGATCATCACTTTGCCCTTGAATTTCCAAGTGGTTCATGTCAACAAACATGGTATAACTATCTCCTTCACAGGAAAGGTCTGAAGAGGCTGTGGATCTTATTCGCCAAAATGAGCCTTATTCAAGAGAGCAGTAGTTTCCTCGGGGAGAGGTGGGTACAACCCTTGGCATTCAGGGATATGTTCACTGTATGCCTGTCTTTACAGTCGGGCTGGCGGAGTGTCCTCTCATTGGCCTTTTGCCATCTGGGACTGCAACAAGCCATATGGCCACCTTAATACAAATCAAGAGTGTGTATAGCTTCATATTTCAACCTTTTTTTTAATGTAGATTACTTCTTACGTCCATTTTCTTAAGTAGTTAACTTCTAAGCTTGAGGTAGGCAGGAAACAATACTTTATGTTAACTTTTAATTCTATAAATAAAGTCAGTTTTATGGTATCTGAAGAATTATAGGGGTTCTTTACCATGAGTGGTCCTTTAATGTTGTGGGTTCTGTCCCCTAGAAACTGTCCAAGGAAGGGAGAGGACTGTGGCACATATTCTTGGCCATACTCTTCACAGTTCTGTCTCTGACCGCTGTCTGGAAACTGGGCCTCCATTTCTTAATGTGCTCAATGCTCTTGTGCAAAATTGTGGTGTCCACCAGGCTGAGCTAAGGTTGTGCCCCAGCAGCAGATAATCCCAGACTCTCAGGAGCCCACAGAGCAAAGACACATTTCTCACTCTGTATGTACATCTCAGGTTGGCAGGGGGCTATCTTTATTGGCGTTATCAGTGGGCCCTGCAGGGTGAAGCCACCACCGCCTCCTTGGAGCTGCATGTTGCTAAACTATGCACCGATGTCAAAAGCTTCCTGCCCGAGGTCACTCATTCCCCTTCTGCGCACATTTCATGAGTCAAAGCCAGTAATTTCAAGGGGGTAGAGAAAGGCGATCCCACCTGGTGCTTAGGAGGAAAATCCCAACCACCTCATGTGGTCATCCTTTTCTCACTGTGATGTCTTTCAAGGAAGGGGTAGGGAAGTCCATGGAAACCATCTGTGGTCAGTGAAGTCACACCACATAGATTCCTCCTTTCTCTATGTACGGAACCATTGACCTTTTCCTGAGGCCTCTGAGGTTGCAGAGAGCAGCGGCATGTTGGGGAACCACATTCTGAGAAGAGAACAGAACTTGGGGAAGGGTAGGGCCAGGATGGGAGCAGAGGCTTCCAGCCCTGGGCCAGGTTCCACGGAGCTGGCAGAGGCTTCCGGTCTGTTTCTGTCGGTTCCAGCTGATAGGCAGGAAGGGTCGGCAGCAGAAATGCTTGTAGGATGGCCCGACTGTGTAGAGCGCACTGTTTAACAAACTCGGGGGTGTGATTCCAGGTCAGCATCTACTGCATTGGTAAAGAATGTCTAAGGAGCAGGACTCATCTGTCAGGAATCTTATCTGCTGGGATTGCAACACCAGTTTGCAGAAAGCTGTATCAGTTATTGCGAAATATACAAATATATTATAAAAGAGTACATGGTGATTCCCAACGATTGGACGTCTGAGAAAAGAGTGACATCGGGAGGCCAGTGTGGGTGACAGGAAATGGTTTTATTGAGGGTCTCCCTGCCTTACCCCCAACAGTTTGGATAGAGGCCAAACTCCATCTGTGCCTCCTAAGAGGGGACAGTCACACTGCTGGAAGGGTGACCTCTACATTCAGACTCTGCTGGGCTGTTTGGCACAGAACGGAGCTGCTGCCGAGTGCACGAGTTTGCTAGTGTCCTTCCAGGAACAGGGCACGCTGCAGTGTCTCTGTCCACGGGGTGGGTGTAAGGACACATGGGACAGGGGTTGGCATGCCTGGGTGACCCTGGAGACTTTGCCCCTCAGCAGGAGGCAGCCTGTGCACCACTCATGTGTTCATGGTTGTGGGGACTCTCTGGATGTCTCAGATTCAAAGTCCCTCGGGAACCGGGGCTCTAACCACTTCTCTCCTCCCCTACAAAGGGCTCCAGGAGGCCTGAGGAAACCTTCGGGAGATGCGGACACTCTGGCCCTCTCCACTCATTTCTCCTGCCCCATGCTTACCATGGGGCACTCTCTGCCCTGCCTGGCTGTAAACCCTCTGAGGGCAGGGAGCTACTTAACCTCAATGTGCCTCAGTTTCCTGCTTTGGAAATCTACAGTACCAGTGACCTCTGCCTCCTACCATTCAGTCCTAAGGATTCAATGATTAAAGTTGAAATGAGGTGATAATTGCCAAGTATTCTCTGTAGGCCAGCCCTGGTCTAGGCACTTGGAGAATGTTAACTAAGGAATCCTTAGTTAACGTGTTACTGTAAGGAATGTTAGTCCGTACAGTAACACTGGCCAGTGGGGGCTCTCGTTTGAGGAAACTGAGGCACCAAGAACGGTTACCTTGCTAATGAGCCCAGCTGGCCCCAGAGACCATGTCTAACCCTGGGTTATCCTGCCTCTCACAGCGAAGGGACAGATTTGACCCATGCAGGGCCTCAAGTAAAGCACTTACCCAGTGCTCACTCTGATCACTCCCTGCTGGAATCCCCAGGCGACACGAGGCTTGATGCTGGATCACAGGAGAAGGATGCGTGACACTGTGGCATCCTGGCGCCTTTCCTGCGCCCCAGGCCAGGGCCTGGCACGGGGAGGTGCTAGTGTTCAGCGTCGTCTTTGTTCCTCTGCTTGGCACAGAGAATTTCTCAGATTCAGGGCTTTAATAGAGCAAAGAGTGGTGGGTGGGCCTTAGTTATTCTTTATAAAGTAAAACCCAGGTGAGCAAAGCATCTGTCAGAAACCAGCCTGTGCAGCTGAAAAGAGAAACACGAAATAATGGTGAAGGTGCAGAAACGTATGTGCCCTTGACCCAGAGCAACACGGGTTTAACTTTGCCGGTCTACTTATGCGTGGATTCTTTTCAATAAACATTGTAAATGTATTTTCTCTTCCTTATGATTTTCTTTTTTAAAAAAGACTTTATTTTTTTAATTTTTTGAGATTGGGGAAGGGAAGGAGAAAAAGAAGAGAAATACTGATGTGCGAGCAAAACAATAATCGGTTGCCTCTCGCACACCCCCAGGTGGGAAGCTGGCCCACAACCCAGGCCTGCGCCCTGATTGGGGATCAAACCAGCGACCTTTCAGTCTATAGATGACACCCAAGCCACCGAGCCACCCCAGTCAGGGCCTCATGATTTTCTTTTTTCTAATTTACTTTGTAAGAGTAGAATATATAATACACAAAATATGTGTCCATCGACTCTGTTATTGGAAAGGCTCCCAGTGGGCTAGTTAAGTTTTAGGGGGTCGACAGTTCTACAAGGACTTTTGGCTACACGGGGTTTCGTTCCCCCAACTCCCTGAGTTGCTCAAGACCAACCATAGTGTGGTACCGAACACGTGAAAAATCAGTGTGGGCACCGCTGCCCGTAGGGGGAAGCAGAGAGGGAATACTCCAAAATCTTTGTAGTGGGTGGTAGGTGACTTTTTTTATCTCTCATATTTTCCTCAGTGAGCAGGTATTGCTTGTACACTTGGGCAAAGTTGTTTAAGCACAGAAAGGAACGTCTCTGGAGATGGGGAACATCTTTCTAAGTTTTTTTTTATTTTAGCATCTCAGTTACAAAGAACGCACATTTCCTTTCAGGGCCCCCTGGGGTAGTGGAAGGGGAGGAAAGAAGCAGTCTGGGGTGAACCCTCTAGACAGAGGGAGGGAGGACGTGCGTGCACGTGCTCTCTGGGGCAGAAGCGGGAATGGAAGCCACCCTCTGCCGTGCGTCCTGGTTGCTCTCCTGAGGTGGGACTCCCTCATAAGTGAGTCCTTTCTCCCAGGTGTCCCGGAGACCATGCTGCGTGCATCTGACAACAGGTTGGCCACAGTGCCCCTCTAAGCCCCTCACCTGCCTTCCCCAGACTTTCAGCGGACAATGACCTCTCTCCATTCTGGGGTGCCAAGTTCCCCTCATTCAGAAGCCTTTGCTTTCTTTCCTCCATTATCATTACCTTCTGTTATTCTGTTTGGTTTGCATTTGGTGGTTCGGTGGGGTTCTGTCGGTCACACTGTCTGTCTGTCTGTCTGTCTGTGAGCCCCCAGAGGGCTTTATTCCCTGGATGTCCTATAAGCTGCACAAATGCACGGTGACTGAACAAGAATTATGAATGTCAACCAGAAGTCTTCTGTTCTTACTTTCAGGTGTTTCAGCAGCCCCACTGCCCGTCGGGCACTAAGACCGCCTTGGAGCAGCCCTCTCCGGGCAGGTGGAGCTGTCTGTTCCTCCAGCCCTACCACCCCTCCCCTTTCTCCTAAGGCCAATTTCATTCGTTCGCTCACCATTCATTACAATCTTTTCTTTGATTTTGCAGATGCCAGAAAGACACTGAACACTGAATATTGAAAGGGAGAAGGTTGTTTTAAAATATTCTGACTTACTTCAAAGAACAATGCCAGGAACTTAAAAAGGTATTGTTAACCGCTAATTTAAATTTCACATTCTCAACTGGTATTCCTTCTAGAAACCGATTTTCTAAAGCTATGGCTCTTAAAAGGGGTCATAGAATTGACCACAATAGAAAAGGCTGAATTGGTATATCATAGATAAGCACTTTTCTTAGTGGACTAGTAACTAATCAATCATGTCATCCCCTAAAAAGTTTGTCTACCTCTGGTCACTGACCTTAGCAAAGGAACCCACAAGCAGAAGCAATTAAATGAGGATTTTTTTCTTTACCACGATAGATCCCTGTTTTCAGCAAGACTCCAGCTTGCTCTGAACAGACATATTCCAGGACCAAAGGGAGCAGGAGGAACCTTTCCCAAGGTCTTTGCCTTCTTACAGGGGCCACGCTGAGAGGCAGGGGCCCTGGGTCCTGATTGTCCTCTGCCAGGAAGACACATTCAGCCAAAGATGAATTTGGGACAAGTAGCCACTTGCTCCTTTAACCATGGAGAAGCAGGGCCACAGTGAGATGGAAATAATCCCCTCAGAGTCTCTTCACTCCTACATTAAGTTGTTGAAAAGCAACCGTGAACTTCTGGTCACTCACATCCGCAACACGCAGTGTCTGCTGGACAACCTGCTGAGGAATGACTACTTCTCGGCTGAAGACACGGAGATCGTGGGCGCCTGCCCCACGCAGCCTGACAAGGTGCGGTGGGAGGGATTGGCCTGGCCGGAGGCGGGGCTTGGTAGCCAGAGGGGCTTCTCCCGGTGGACCTGAGTGAAGAGCTTTGGGAGTGTAGCCCACTGGGCAGAATTTCTCACTGTGGCCATTTCTAGAACAGAAAGGCTGGAGTTATGGGCTTATTGCACAAAGAGGTGCCGTGCCTCTGTGCTCATGGGAAGAGCAGATTCCTACATCTCTCTTGGCTGTGAGCATCGGTTCCCAGCAACCGATTTGTAAAGTCACTTTAAATTAGCAGGAGGGAAAAAGAAAATGAGCATAAACCAAGAGCAGTGACGTCCACTGGGGGTCTTCACTTTCGAGGCTGGGCCACTGCTCACTGCTGGTAAGACTGGGTGTGGCCTTCTGGCTCGGGATGACAGCATCCAAAGCCAGGTCCACAGTAATGAGTTCTCCCCACTCCACTGTGGGAAGTCTCAGCAGCCCTGGGTGTCACACCAGCTTTGTGTCATCTGAAAAATAAAATGGGCAAGACCCAATTCTCCTTCCTGCTTAGAGCAGTGGCAGGCCTGCTGGGCTCGGAAGAGACCAGAAGGGTGTCGGCAAAGTACCATAGCTCACTCTGGTCATTGTTCTCCCCCCGCATGTTAAAGAACACAAAAAGCCTTTTGAAAGGTCTGCCTTACGTGGGGGTCTGTCGTCCCCTTGCTGTGTGACCCAGTGCCCACCTCACTTGCCTCTGGGGTGGCTCTTTCCCCTCAGCCCTCACTCCTGGAGAGCAATAGTGTTTGTTTCAGAGAGAAAAGGAGACACAGAGAAAATTCCCGAGGTGGGCATGGCCTGGTTGGGAGTCTGACCTCACTTTCAGGCTCCTGAAGGCCTCCTGGCCTCTTACAGCTGTGTGGTGCCCACATTTTGCCTTGTGTGATGTACACTCAGGGTTTCTGTGTGAGTTATACACGGGACTATTCTACTTATTATACCCACGTATAATGCACATCCTTATTTTTCCCTCAAAAATCTGGGCAAAAAGTATGCATTATACATGGCAAAACACAGTATTTCTAGCGAATGTGGCCCATTCCACAGATTCTAGGCCTTTGACACAGAGCATCTCACTTGAGCTGGGGGACCGTCTAAGGCCGTAGTAAGAGCACGGGGCCCTGCCGTGTGCACCTTTTCCAGGAGAGGACACCCCAAGCGCCAGGCTCCCGCCCTCATGCTTGTGCCGTTACCAGGTCCGCAAGATTCTGGACCTGGTGCAGAGCAAGGGCGAGGAGGTGTCAGAGTTCCTCCTGCACGTGCTCCAGCAGCTCGAAGACGCATACGTGGACCTCAGGCCGTGGCTGGCGGAGATCGGCTTCTCCCCTTCCAGGCTCATTCAGAGCAAAACGGTGGTCAACACCGACCCAGGTATGAGTCAGCCCTGGGGGACAGCAGACGGCAGGCGGACAAGGCCCTGGTTTTGGCAATGCTTAGAGGGTGCACTCAACAGGTCATGCAAGCTGGCCCACCACAGGCCCGGGTGCTGGGTTCCTTTTAGAAAAGGAGAGCTGGTCCCTGTCACCCACAGGTAGCCCAGGGAACTGTCACTGAAGTGACCACGTGCAGCTGGTCTGCTTGACGGAGGAGCTCATGGGAGGGTCGGAGTGACCTCCTACTTCCCATTCTGACGTGGGTAGACATTCTCATGGTTGTGCAAATTCAAGGTTGCATTTTCCCCCCTTTTAAAAATCTTTCCAGATTTGATTCGAGGCAAAGTATTCTTCTCTCACCCCTGCCTGCCAGTTCCTATTTCCAAAGCACCATGGCACCCCATGAATTAACTGAGTAATTCAACAAGTGTTAACGAGCCGAGGCACCTTGTGGGATGCCAGGGTCCAGTCAGGCCCAGATATGGTTCCTGCCCTCAGAGAGGTGACAGTAAATCATCATGCGAATGTATCACCTCATCAGGGGCCGGGGGTGGGGGGTCTTCTTCCTGTGCTCGAACCCTTTCCACTTTGAGACAGTTGCTGGCAACATACCAGCACCAAAGCCCTACACTCCTGTTTTTAAAGAATCCAGTTTGACCTTGAAAACAAAAACAAAGGACAATGGCCCAGAAGGTGCGTGTTTAGGACGAACCAGGCCAACCAGCAGGGTCAGGGCCAAGTTCCCCGACTGCCGCTGCTAGCGCCCCACCCTCACTGTTCACCCCCCTTCCTTGAGATCCTCCCCCAGGAAGAAGGAAAACAGTCCCTTGATGAACATTTCTTTCAAAGGACTCTCCATGGGTCCCGTTAGCCAGCTACTTTGATAATTTTTAAAGTATGGTTCACTCTACAAGGAGCTAGATGTGAAAGGCTACATATGATTCCATTTATATGAAAGGATCAGAAAAGGCGAGTTTCTAGAGGTAGGAAGCTGAGGGGCTTAGTTGCCTCAGACCAGAGATAGGGACTGACACTGGCTGCAAATGGGCTTCTGCCGGCCATGCTCTAGAACTGGAGTGTAGTGACGTTTGCGTGACTTTGTAAAGTTACTAAAAAATCAGTGACCAGTACACAAAAGCTACTGTAAAATGGGTGAATTTTATGATATGTAAATTATGTCTTAGTAAAAACTACAAAAGAGTATAATTCACTCAGCAAATGTTAAGCCGGCCATCCAGCTGGATGGACGGGAAGGCTGGCAGATACATGGGGAAATGTGTGTGTATGCCTCAGGGTTGTTAACTAGATCATAATGATAGCTCCAAACCCATTTTAAAGGAACGTATGGAACGCCTTTTTGTCTGGGGCAAGGCTACCTTCCTTCTGGCGTGAGCCCTGGTCATAGCCCCCGTTTGCTGAGAGCGTGGGGCGGAGCCCACATGAGTGCCCCCGCTGTGTCTGCTCCCCTGCAGGCGGGCTCAGAGCTCGCCCTGGGGCACATGCTGAGCCTCGGTGACGCCCTGTCGGCTTGGGAGCAGGGCTGGTGCGCCCCTCATGGTCTAAGGGGGCCCTTCATCTCGTTTGCTCACTGGTGGTGATTTAGATGAGGCACACAGCTCCTTTGCAATCCAGTTTAACGTCCCGTGTTGTATTTTATCACCAAAAATGTTGGCATTCGGTTTTGTGAGACTGTGAGTTGTTTCCAGAGTGGGGTAATATGTTATAGAAAGGCCAGGGCAGTGCGGCCTCAAGGACTTTCAGTGGGGACGGGCTCCAGCTAGTTGAGCAGGGCCCTGGGGAGGGCGTGGGGCTGCAGGGCCAGCGGGCGTGGCCTTGGAGTGAGAGACAGCTTCAGTTTCTAGCTGGAGTTCAATGACAACTTGTGCAGAGCAGGAGGGAGCCTGTCTCAGACACTATTCCAGTTGAAGTCCATCACCCTCTGGCTGGCCAAATCTGAGGTCAGGCAGAGGTGCCAAGGCCTGAGGACCAGCAGATCCTGCAGACCCTCTTTGAGGGTCCTCAGGGCCTACCTTGGAGTCATCCTTAGCCTTGGCCTCAGGGTCCAGGCTATGGGTCTGTCTGTGTGCTTGTTCCTCCTCCTGAGGCTTCCCTGGTTGATCCTCTTTGCCTCCATCTCTTTCTCTCTTTCTCTGACTCCATCTCTCTTGGGTTCTCATCTCCTGCGACGCCTGTGCCCCACCCACCTCACTCTTCCGACAGTGAGTAGGTATACCCAGAAGCTGCGACACCAACTGGGCCGAGACTCCAAGTTCATCCTGTGCTACTCACAGAAGGAGGAGGTGCTGCTGGAGGACACGTACACAGACACCATCATGGAGTTCGTCAACTTCAGCAACGAGAGCCTGGGCAGCCTGGGTAGCCTGGCCTGCCTCCTGGACCACTCCACGGGTGTCCTCAATGAACAGGGGGAGACCATCTTCATCTTCGGCGATGCCGGCGTGGGCAAGTCCATGCTGCTGCAGCAGCTACAGAGCCTCTGGGCCACCGGCCAGCTAGATGCAGGGCTCAAGTTCTTCTTCCACTTCCGTTGCCGCATGTTCAGCTGCTTCAAGGACAGCGACACGCTGAGCCTGCAGGACCTGCTCTTCAAGCATTACTGCTACCCGGAGCAGGACCCCGAGGAGATATTCACCTTCCTGCTGCGCTTCCCCCACACCGTCCTCTTCACCTTCGACGGCCTGGATGAGCTCCACTCAGACTTCGACCTGAGTCACGTGCCTGACACCTCATCACCCTGGGAGCTGGCCCACCCCCTGGTCCTGCTGGCCAACCTGCTCAACGGGATGCTGCTTAGGGGGGCCGTCAAGCTGCTCACGGCCCGCACAGGCATCGAGATCCCACGGCAGCTCCTGCGGAAGAAGGTGCTTCTGCGGGGCTTCTCCCCCAGCCACCTGCGGGCCTATACCAGGAGGATGTTCCCCGACCGGGCCACGCAGGACCGCCTGCTGGACCAGCTGGAGGCCAACCCCAACCTCTGCAGCCTGTGCGCCGTGCCCCTCTTCTGCTGGATCATCTTCCGCTGCTTCCAGCATTTTCATAGCACCTCCGACAGCTTCCTGCAACTGCCCAATGGCACTGTGACCCTGACTGATGTCTTCCTGCTGGTCACTGAGGTCCACCTGAACAGGGTGCAGCCCACTAGCCTGGTGCAGCGGAACACACGCAGCCAGACAGAGACCTTCCGCACCAGCCTGGGCACCCTGCACTCGCTGGGGCAGGTGGCCCACCGGGGCATGGAGAAGAACCTCTTTGTCTTCAGCCAGGAGGAGGTACAGGCCTCTGAGCTTCAGGAGGCTGACCTGAAGCTGGGCTTCTTGCGGGCTATGCCTGAGGTGGGCCTTGGCGGGGACCAGCAGTCCTATGAGTTTTTCCACATCACCCTCCAGGCCTTCTTTACTGCCTTCTTCCTCGTGGTGGACGACAAAGTGGGCACTCACGAGCTGCTCAGGTTCTTCCAGGAATGGGTGCCTCCTGGGAAGGCAGCAGCTGTGTCCTGTTCTCCCCTCTCCTTCCCTTTCCAGTGCCTGGGGGACAGTGGCCCGGTGAGGGAAGACCCCTTCAAGAACAAGGATCATTTTCAGTTCACCAACCTCTTCCTGTGTGGGCTGTTGTCCAAAGCCAAAAAGAAACTCCTGCAACATGTGGTGCCAGCTGCAGCCCTTAGGAGAAAGCGCAAGGCCCTGTGGGCACACCTGTTTGCCAGCCTGAGGTCCCACCTGAAGAATGTGCCCCGCGTTCAGACTGAGGGCTTCAAACAGGTGCAGGCCATGCCCACCTTCATCTGGATGCTGCGCTGCATCTACGAGACGCAGAGCGAGAAGGTGGGGCAGCTGGCAGCCAGGGGCATCTGCGCCAACTACCTCAAGCTGACCTACTGCAATGCCTGCTCGGCCGACTGCAGTGCCCTCTCCTTTGTCCTGCACCACTTTCGAAAGCGGCTCGCTCTTGACCTGGACAACAACAATCTCAATGACTACGGTGTGCGGGAACTGCAGCCCTGCTTCAGCTGCCTCACCGTCATCAGGTGAGGCTGCCAGGCACAGGGACCACTGGTGGGTTGAGGTGGGCCAGGCTGGGGGATGCCAGGACTAGCACTGTGGAGAGGGATCATATAGATTTCCCTGGGAATCACAACCACTGGTCTTGGAGCATGCGCACTGTCTCCATCTCAGGGTGGCAGGAAGGAGCAAAGCTTCCAAGTCAGGCAGACATGCCGCAGCCCCTGCTGAGTGTCCTTGAACGAGTGCTTCACCTCTCTGAGCCTCAGTGTCTGTCCTCATCCAGAAAAAGGAAACACTCGTATCCTAGTCATTAGGGTGCAGCTGACCCTTGGACAAGGCAGGGGCTAGGAGTGCTGAACCCTCTGTAGTCAAAAGCCACATATAACTTTTGACCTTCCAAATACTTAACTATGAATGGCCTACTGTTGCCCAAAAGCCTTTCCAGGAAGATAAACAGTTGATCAATAAGATAAGGCAGGGAAAAAAGTAGGTTTACAGTTGTCAGTACGTGAAACAGAGTGTATCATCCTATCAATTTTTAATTACTATATTATTTTCCATATGAACCACTGCAAACCTACTTTTGCCCACTCCTGTACATATTTTGTATGTTACATGTATCATATACTGTATTCTTACAATAAAATAAGCTAGAGAAAAGAATGTCATTAAGAAAATCATAAGGAAGAGAAAATACATGTTATTTTATGCATTCATGACATAGCTGACTTTCTCTTAATTTTTTCAGTGTTTTTAGGCTATACAGTTTGTTTGTTTTCTCAAATTTTTGCAAATCTCCAAGAAAGTTTTCAATGTATTTATTGAAAACATCCACGTGTCAGTGGCTTGCATGGCTCAAAGCCATGTTGTTCAGGGTCAATGGCAGTGACAAATGAGGAAACAGAGGCAGAGAGAAGGTGATACGTTGCTCAAGATCACTTAGCTGGGCCACGGTGGAGCCAGAATCAAAAAGAACTTACCTTTTATGATTTACGAAAGGTCAGAGTTAGCTCCTGGTTGCAGAAAAAGCTGCCTCTGTGCAAGCTGGCATTTGTCGCAAAGCAGCATCCGTGAGCTGCCAGGGATCTCAGTAAAAAACGCTGCCTCTTGATTAGTTTTTTGTTGGTTGCTTTAGAGAAAAGGGAGGCCAGCCTGCTTTCTTCTATTAGCATTGCCTATATACACCTGTAAATCTCACCATGGGGTTTAGTTCTCCATTAGTTGACTCATGCATTTCTAGGGAGCAGGCGATTTGGAATTGTTTTTTTGGTAACTGTTATGTCGAGACCAGAGTGTAAATTGTGTGGGGACAGTGGGATATAGGGAGCCCAAGGCTGCCGGGGCCCAGGAATTGAGAGAGGCCCACAGTCTTTTCTCTGTGCTCAGCCAGTATCTCTCCGTCTGTAGCCTTGGGCAGCCTGAGACTCAGTGCCTCCCTGTGCTCATCTCATTAGAAGGAATCTCCATACCAGTGTGGTGGTCCTGCCCCAGGCAACTGTCCCAAGTTCTTCTCCACACCAGTAGAGGAGAAAGCAAGAGGGAATGGGTCACCCCAAGGAAACATTTTGAGCTCTGTGAAGGTATCCATTAGGATTAGTTTCAGATGGGAGAGAAAACTCAAAAGTATCAGTTCTTTAGATAATGTACGAGCTTACTTGTCTCTCAGGCAAAAGTCTAGAGGAGGGCAGTCCTGGGCTGCATGTGCTCCTGTGACCCTCAGGAGCCCAGGCTCCCTTCTGCCTTGCTATCCTGCCACCCTCACTTCCTGACTTCCACCTCTTGGCCCAAGATGGCTGCTCACGCTCCAGCCCTTCAATCAACATTCTAGCCACCTGGAAGAAGGAAGGGCAAAGAAAGACACACCCCATGGTTTTAAGAAGACTTCTCAGTTATTGCTAATGATTCTTCTGCTTAAATTTCATTGGGCAGAACTTGATCACATGTGCCTAGATTAAAAAAAATGGGGACTCTGTTTCTAGGAAAGCATAGATATTGGGAGTGACCAGCAGCTTCTGCCATGTTGGGACAGTAGTGCCCTGTGCACAGACACTGTGCCCAGTGCCAAGGTGGGGACCACTGGGGGTGGGGCCGAGAGTGTCTGACCCTATCATTTGGATGAGGTCTAAAAATCAAGCTTTTACATGCTCAGCAAAACAGTCAAGCTGTGCGTGCAGTCTGGCCTGCAGCTTGTGTTTGTAGATGAAGTTTTACTGGAGCAGTCACACCCATATGTTTACAAATTGGCATCTTCACACGAAGGAGTTGAGTGGCGCGGAGGCCACCCACAAATGCAGGATGTCAGAGGTGGCTATCCTCTCGTGCCCTTCACGTGCCCCCTGTAGTCCTTGCGTGGGGTCAGGGCTGTGCGCCAGTGGGCTGATTTTGGGCGGGTGTGTTGGCCCCACTCTGGGCTCTAAGTTTGGGGCTGTCTGGCTGGCTGCTATGGTCATTCTCTCAGGTAGCATTTATAGCTAGAAAAGTCCAGAACCTACACAGCTTCCAGGTCCTCATGGAATGAATGTCCCCTTTCAGTGAGCAGCTGCTGTCCTGTGTAACTTCCTCTGCTGTTTTGTCTCAGACTCAGTGTAAACCAGGTCACTGACGCTGGGGTCAAGGTGCTGTATGAAGAGCTGACCAAGTACAAAATTGTGACGTATTTAGGGTACGTATTTCTCAAGAACACCAGGCCAGCTATGTAGCAATAACACAGAGGAGCAGGAAATTGCTGTTCACATGTGTGAGTAGATTGCTGGGGCTGATGGTCAAGGGTATCAAGAGATGCACTGGACTGGGAGCCAGGAGTCCCGGGGGCCCGCTTTTGGTCCAGCCAGCACTTGGAGCAAGTCAGGAAATCGCGCTGGGCCTCGGCTTCCTCACTTGTGTGATTAGATCCTAATAATACAGGCAAGTGGTGGCTGGGGAATGCAGTGAGAGGCTATCTCGGGGTATGTTTTATAAACATTAGAAAACTGTATTAGGCTTCATGGAGATGGTGGGTTCATGATCCCTGGGCAGAAGCCTTGGGGCATGACCAGTGGGGCCTGGGGCAAAACCCCGTTTTAAATACTTTAATATTTCTGCAGCCAAGTATATGAATAGTCAAGCCAGTTGAGATGAAGGCTGGAGATAGCTCCATATCAGTTGCCACAGTACTTATAAAAAACTTTGGGTTTTCAGAGCCCGGGATTTGGGAGTTTGGGATAGCCAGCCTGACGCCACTGTCGACCTGCTAAGTGGGAGCCCATTGGCATCGTCTTGGGCCTCAGTCCCCTGAGTTGTGGAGTGAGGGCAGGGTGTCAGGCCACCTTCCAGCTTGGGAGTTGTGTGTTAGCGTGGAACCCTGGAGTCCTGTCCAGTCCCACGTTCACCTTCTGTGTGCACGTTGTTGAATTGGTATCACCTGGTGAGATGACTATAAGGCAGACACTGAGGAGGTCCCAGTACTCAGGAGCTTCCCCCCACCGGAAAGGTGCTGGTTGGTATCTTAATCTCAAAATGCCCATCGCCTGCCATTTGTTGAGTGCTTACAGACAGGGGCTTGGAATGATGCCACATGACGCTCAGGACAGCCCTGTCAGGGAACTATCACTCCTACCCCAGTATTACAGAGGGAGAAACGGCAGCACAGAGATGTTCAGTAACTTGCCCCAGGTCACAAAGCTGGAAGGGGGCAGAACGGCTTTGAGCCCAGCCTGTGAGACCCTGGGGTGCGAACTCTGGTCTTCATGTACCCTTTCTTTCTTCCTTCAACCCAGACTTTGGAAATGAGATGCACATGCTCAGATTTTTTTTTAAATGGGCTCATTAGGACGACATTGGGGTCATCAAGTGTTATGACTGTGCTTTCTCTCAAAGCTTGTACAACAACCAAATCACAGACGTCGGAGCCAGATACATCGCCGGAATCCTGGACCAGTGCAAAGGCCTCACTCACCTAAAGTAAGTGGGGCGGGCTCGTTAGGAGCGTCTCTTGGCCACCCTTATAAGAGCTCCCACCTAAAGCCTTATTCAGTGCGCCAAGGAGCCTTATGGGTGAAATCAGGAGACCTGTGTGTGAAGGTGAGCTGGCCACCTGCAGGATCTATGACCTGTGGGTGGGGCTCAGTTTGGGAGGAACCACTTAGTATTGGTGGGGGGAAGGAAGGCCACAGCTACCACCCTTTTGGAGGTCTTTTTTCCCCCAAGGAAGTTCCTCCTTGTCTTAGTCCCTTCAGGCTTCTATAATAAGATATCACAAGCTAGGTGGCTTAGACACACCAAAATATTTTTTCTTTTGGTTCTGGAGGCTGGGGAGTCCAAGATCAAAGTTTTGGCAAAGTAGGTGTCTGGTGAGGGCCTGATTCCCAGTTCATGGATGGGGCCTCGTCGTGTCCTCACCTGGTGGAAAGGGGGCAGGGAGCTCTCCAGGGCCTTTTTATAAACTGCTAACCCTATTCCTGAGGGCCCCACCCTCATGACCTAGTCACCTCCCCAAGGCCCCGCCTCCAAATTCATTACCCTAGGGGTTAGGGTTTTGGAATATGGATGTTGGAGAGGACACAAACATTCAGACCGTAGCACCCATCTAGTTGCAAGGAAGAGCTTACCTAACCAAGGGTGACAGAGCACCAGGCTTGAAGGAGCCCCTGGTGGTGGGAACACATACCTTGGCCATTTGCAGTAAAGCGGGAACCTCCCCGGTCTGCTGATGGGAATGAGTGATGCTCCAGAGGTCATTTAAAGAGCCCCCGGGAAAGCTCGAAAGCTCGGGTCACTGAGTTTCTGCACGTCACCTGGGGAGGAGTCCCGACTGGCTGTCCTCCAGGCTTCAGGTCCCTCCCTGAGGGGGAGTGCAGAGCGCAGCTGCTGTGGCTCCCAGGAGAAAGGCCACACCTCCCAAGAGGCACCAGAGGGGCTCTGGGCTGGGGACGAGGGTGGCAGAGTCCCCTTGCAGCTGGAGGCTGACGCACGCAACTCTCTCTGCAGAGTGGGGAAAAACAGAATAACGAGTGAGGGAGGCAAGTGTCTCGCCCTGGCTGTGAAGAACAGCAAGTCGATCTCTGAAGTTGGGTGAGTAGAGACAAATGCCCTGTGTGTGCGGAACCCTGCCTGTTCTGGGTCCGTGAGCGCCTGCTGGGCTTCTTGTGCATAAATGCACCAACCAGACCGCTGGACAAGCTGTGTAGGAGGGGCACAGAGAGCTTTCCTCGGGGAGGCCCCAGAGGGCCCCATTGCTCCCTGCATGGGAAATGCTGTGAGGAGTCCCCAGATGGACGGCAACATTCATTGCGTGGGCTTTTATTTGATTCATGCAAAAGTCAGCATTATCACCTCCAGCAAATGGAGGGAGCTCTTCTAGCCCTGAGTGGAGAGTTTCACAGACAGATGTTCTTCACTTTAAGAATATTGTGTATTCCCTGGTGGGTTATTTTTAGTTAAATTTTTTATTGTAGTTTAATGCACATAACATAGCGGTTACCATCTTAATCATTCATAAGCATATGGTTCAGGGACATTAAGTCCATTCCTATGGTTGTATGACCATCACAAATACCCATTTGCAGAACTCTCTTCTTGCAAAATGAGAAACTCTCTACTCACAAAAGAGTAACTTTCTGTCTCCTCTCTCTTCTGTCCTGGTTTATTTGACTCCTGTCAGTCCCTCATGTAAGTGGAGTCATAGAGGATTTGTCTTTTTGAGACTGGCTTATTTCACTTAGCCTGAGGTCCTCAAGATTCATCCATGTTGTACCGTGTGTGGAAATTTCCCTCCTTTCTAGGGCTGAATAATGGCCCATTGCAGGTGTAGAGCACATTATGTTTACTCACCCATCTGTCCACGGCACCTGGGCCACTTCCACCTTTTAGCTGTTGAGAGCGGTGCCACTATGAACGTGGGTGTGCACAAGTCTCTTGGAGACTCTGCTTTCCATCCTTTTGTTTTGTTTTTCATTTTTGGGGTTCTATACCTAGAAGTGGAATTGCTGGATCGGATGCTATATTTTTAATTTTTTTCGACAAAACACCATACTGTTTTCTGCAGTGGCTGCATCATCTGACATGCCCACCAACAGTGCACAAGAGTTCCAATTTCTCCACATCCTCACCAACACTTGTATTTTGTTTTTATTTTTTAATAGTAATCATGCTAATGCATGTGAGGTGGTATGTCACTGTGGTTTTGACCCTGTGGAGGGTTTTTAAGCTTTTTATATTGTCATAATGTTTTATTTAATTATAAAATAAATACAGATAATCTTATTTGTTAATGATGGGAAATATGAAAAGCATAATAAAAATGAGTTTCTCAGAAATAACTATTACCAACATTTGAGGTCAGTTAAGCTTTCTTGCTTTCTCTATACTCTATTTTTAAATTTTTATTTATTTATTTTTAGAGAGGGGAAGGGGGGGGAATGGGAGACAAACATTGATAGCATGCCTCTTGCATATCCCCAGTAGGGGCCCTGACCCACAACCCCGGCATGTGACCTAAGAAAGGACATAAGTCCCCCAAGCGTGTGCATGTAGTAGGTCAGAGGCAGGATGTGAGGTCCTGCTCAGAGCCCAGCCTGTGACCTCGAAGACCCTGTTCAGGCAAACCCTTGCCTTTGCCGGGGTCCCTTGGGTAACCCACTCTGGGGGAGAGAACATGGCTCCGTCACTGTGGCCCCCCACCCACACTGCAACGACCCACGTGGCACCATGTGGTACTGCCCTCTTACGTCGAAGGGTCATCACTGTGAAGGCTTCTGAATGTGCGTCCTGGGCCTGGACTCACGGAAGACTGGCTGTGCCTGCACGACTCTCTCAGACCCCTGCACAGAGTCGAAGGGACACTGGGAGGCCAGCGCCTCCACAGGCCTTCCTTCGAGGCTGTACACTCTGTGGGTGACACTGCTGGGACAGCCTTGGGCTTACACTCTCTGACGGACAGCTCTCTGAAAGCTCAGGGTGAGACTTGGTCTCTAGTTGTGCAACTTGCTGATGGGCTGCTGTTCTCAAGGCTTCTACCGCCTGTTATCCCGACGCTTCCCTCCGAATTTGAGATCCCCGGCGCACTGCACTAAGGGGCTGGCGTAGGCAGTGGTCCCCAGGCCACGGCTCCCAGGATGGAGCAGAAATGCCGGCCCGCTGAGTGTACAGCCCAGCCGTGGGCGCCCGCAGGGAATATGGGGTGGCGTGCACTCACCTTCCCCATCTTGCCTCTGCCCTCAGGATGTGGGGCAATCAAATCGGTGATGAAGGAGCAAAGGCCTTCGCGGAGGCTCTGAGGAACCACCCCAGCTTGACCAACCTGAGGTACCTGCTGCCTTCTGACACCCGCTGTCTCCAGGGCCAGCCTGGCCCCTCGTGGGTCTCTTGGTGTGCCAGGGGAGGAGCCGGGAGGAAGAGGGTGCTTGGCTTTCCTAGGGACAGAGGTATGCGTGTGCGATGTTTTTGAGAACAGAACCCAAGATGGTGGGCAACGGCAGAGTTCCTTTCTGATGAGAACAGAGGAAGCCCACCCAGCTCTTTCTCTCGAGGAAGCCCACAGATGGGCACCTGGAGAATGTCAGCCCCCTGAAGCAGAGCTGGCCAGGCCTCATCAGCCCTGAGTCTGCTCTGTGCCCAGGTCCCACCCATGTCCAACGGTTCCCCTCTGACCTCACACTCTGAGCAGGCACTCGGTAGCAGCAGAACCTGGGGGCGGCAGGCGAGGCCGAGAACTCCTGCCTCAGGTCCTCTGGGCAGGGCAGCTCCAGACGGAGCCTCCTGGCCATTTTGGTTGCTATAGCCAAAGCCTGATGTAATTACCCATTCCCTGTGTTTTCTGTCCTAGCCTGGCATTCAACGGCATTTCTACAGAAGGAGGAAAGAGCCTTGCGCAGGCCCTGCAGCAGAACACATCTCTGAGAATATTCTGGTAATTGCCAGAGGCATTTTGAAAGGTTGGATCTCAGGGTTTATTCCAAAGACTGTGCTCACAGCCAAGAATCTTAGCAAAAAAGCTGCCTCTCCATTAAAAAGGCTTTAGGCCTTTCCTCAGTTAGGTCGATAATCTCCTGCTAGAGAAGAAAATAGCTGTTTTCAGAAGCACGACCAGGCACAGGAGGGGGAGTAGGCTCAGGAGTGTGAGTTCGAGGCCTTAGTCTTCTTTGGCAAGCAGGGCCTCGGGAAAACCGCAAGGTTGGCCTTGGTCAGGGGCAGCCTCAGAACCGCCACCTGTGCCATGCGGGCTCCAGTGGCCACGTACTTGGCTCAAAATCCTCTTCCGTCTCCTTCTTAAACTGTCTTCCTGTCCCTGCAGCCTCCTCCTTCCTCATGTAGCCACGTCGGGGTCTGGCCTTGGTGCGCCAGCTCACCTGGCACCTGTCACCTACCACAGGACGCCCTCTGCACTCCAGGGGCGCCAGTGTATGTTACCTCTGACAGTGTTCTTTTTTTTTTTGTTCCTTTTTCTCTTGGTCATTATTATTTCATTTCATTTATTTATTTGTATTTTACTTACCCGCCAGTGTCAGACATGGCTCGGGGGTGAGGAAATTCTGCTCCGTGTCTAGGTGTCCGCCTCTGGAAGCTCAGGGCTCATGAGATATCGGCTAAGTCATGACAATGGCATCATGAGGCGACTTCTGATATTAGGCCTGCTGGCCAGGAAGTGCAGTTTTCATTCTTTTCCTTTCAAAAAATAGTTTTAAAAGTTTGGAAAGTAACATACTCTTTTTTTTTTGAAAAACGTAAGACACGGAAGTCTGAAAAGTAGAAAGTGAAAGTACCTCCTCCCTTCTGGTTTCCAAATACACCCTGTTTCTTCCAGTCTCTGACTGTGTTTTCTAGCCTTTGCAGCATTTGAATGCATGTCTATTCAAACATATATATCCACTATTCAAATACATATATCCACTTTCGTACAGAATAGAATAGCATTTCCCAAGTAGCTTTTAAAAAATCCTAACCATGTATCACCCACATTTTACATCTTCCTTTGATTCCAGGTCCCACCCATGTCCAACGGTTCCCCTCTGACCCCACATTCTGAGCAGGCACTCGGTAGCAGCAGAGCCTGGGGACAGCAGGCGAGGCCGAGAACTCCTGCCTCAGGTCCTCTGGGCAGGGCAGAGGTTCCTCAGTTTCAATACTGTTGACATTTTGAGCAGTTGACATTCTTTGTTGGGAGGGGCTGTCCTGTGGCTTGAGGGTGCTTAGCTGAATCTCTGGCATCTACCCACTACAGACCAGTAGTCTCCCCCCAATTGTGACAATCAAAAATGTCTCCAGACATTGGCGAATGTCCCCTGGAGATTGAGAAGCACTATTCCGCAAGGATAGTAGTGTCAACTCCAGCACTTCCCCAGCACCGATGACACTGGGCCTTACTCTCAGCCTGTGTATGTATTAGCTCACTCTCACGATGACCCCATGAGGTCTATACTATCACCGTCCCCATTCACCGGTGAGAAAAGTCAGGCCTAGAGAAGGGAAACCACCCACCGAGGTCGCCTTGGCTCGTAGGTGATACCCACCCAGTGTGTCTGGCTCCAGAGCACTTTAAACACTGAGACCTCTGCCTCCTTCTCTGTACGACCTCATTCTCGAAAGGCCTGCACAACGTTCCATTGAGTGGACATTCACGATTTATTTTGCCAGTTGCCTCTATGGATATTTAACTTTGTTCCCATTTACATTATGACCAACAGTGCTGCAGTCGATACTGTGTGTATAGGTCCTTGTGTATCTCTTTGCGCACTACAGTTTCTAGAAGCCTAATCATTGGCTCCAAGTGTAACACGTTTAAAATTTGGGTAGACACTACCAAATTGTCCTTCAAGGAGTGATTTTAATGTTGTTTCTATCCCATTCTTCTTCTCTATTTATTCTTTCGTCCGTTGGCACAACAGGGTCCAATCCTATTTATATCCAGAGCTTCTGGCCCTTGGTGCTTTATCCAGAGCACTTCCAGTTTTAAGAACTATTGGGAGACTTCTGACCTTCAGTCTCCGGCCTGGGGCCCTTCACAGCTGGTCTCAGAGCAGAGCGTTATACACGTGGTTATGGGCCATCGGCCGGCTTTTCTAGGTCTTGACCTGGCTGACTCGGGTGACCTGCTGTCGGTGGTGTTCGAGGGGTCTAGGGGCTGGAGGCCACCTGAGAGGCAGGCATTGGCCTCTCATTTTCAGGGGGCTTGGTCCTCTTAGAGATCTAAGGGCTCAGCAAAATGGAGACAGAACGTGGGCACCTGTGAAGTAAGAGTTTAGGAGTAGAATTTGCCCTGGAAATGAACCACCATTGGTCATCCATGAGGCTCCGAGGCTGGGCTTGGAGCCTGGCTGTCTGCTGGGAGGCTGTGTAAGTGGGAGGCACCTGGGCTGGGGTCCTGCACCTGCGAACTCACTTAAGACGTGTGCCAGGTAGGGCTCTCTGAGTAACACTTCCTTTCCTTTCTAGGCTCACCAAAAATGAACTCGACGATGAAGTGGCTGGGAGCCTGGCAGAGATGCTGAAAGTCAACCAGACGTTGAAACATTTATGGTAACTCACAGAACCTTAGAATCTCAGTCTGTGCTGCTTTTAAAAAAATATCGATTTAAGATGCACATGCCGCAAAATGCACCCTTTTCAAGCATACAGTTCACTAGTCTTCAGAATATTCACAAGGCTGTACAAACAATCACTAGCCTCTAATTCTAGAACAGTCTTATCTGCCCACCTCCCCGACCCCCAAAACTCTTGTGCATTGAACAGTCATTCCCTGCCCTGTTCCTCCCCCAGCCCTAGACACCCACTAACCTACTTTCAGGGTCTATGGATTTGCCCATTGTGGGCATTTCACAGACGGGGAATCAAACAACATGTGACTTTTTGTCTCTGTGTTCTGTCATTAGTATACATCTTGAAGGTCCATCTACATTATAACTCGTATCAGTGATACTTCACTACTTTTTATGGACAAACGGTACTGTGCCGTGTGGGTTTTCTGCAGTTTGTATGTCCATTCACACGTTGGTGGACATTTGGGTTGTTTCTACTTTGGGAATGTTATGGATGACACTGCTGTGAACATTCGTGGACATGCTCACGTGTGAACATCTGTTTTCATTTCCTTGCGTGTGTACACGTACTTAGGAATGGAATTGCTGGGTCATATAATCCCTCTCAGTTAACTTCTGAGGAATTGTCGAACTGTGTCCCAAAGCATTGCTCTGCTTGACATTCCCACCAGTAAAGTACGAGGGTTCCTGCTCCTCCAAATTCTCGCCATCACTTGGCGTCGTCTGTCTGTTTGAATCATGCCATCGTGGTGGTGGGAAGCAGGACCTCACTGTGGTTTCAACTCGCAGCTCCCTGATGGCTAACAGTGTGGGGCGCCTTCTCATGCTGCTGCTGGCCGTTTGGGTATCTTCTTTGGAGAAATGCCACCACATCCTTTGCCCGTTTTTAAATTGGGTTATTTGCCTTTTTATTGCAGAGTTGTTAGCTTTCTTTATATATTCTGGGTACCAGACATTTGTTAGACATATGGTTTGCAAATATTTCCTCTCTGTGGGGTTTTTCACTTACGTTTTTTCCATCTTAACTTTTTAATAGAAGTTCTATGTAAGGTTACTTTATTCCTGTGTATGCTCACATGTTTCTTCCTTGTATTTGCCCTTTATCTTTTCTTTTTGGTAAGATTTGGCTTTACCTTCAAGGGTCTTTTTGCGGTCATTGCCGCGCTTTTGCCTGGTGATAACCACCTGGCAGGGTCGAATGCCCAGGTGAGCAGGGGAAGTACCATTAGCTTTCTCCCACTTCATTTGTTCAGTGTAGACAGCATATTTCTTCTTACAAATCTGGACTACTTCGCCAATTTGCTGCCCTTTGTAAAGTCCTCACCCAGCCCAAACTTCATCCTCCTCTTGGATGGGCATGGATCAAACACTGCACTTCTGTCTGAGCTCTTTGGAAAGAGAAGACATACCACCTTTTACAGTTCCTGCCGCAGTCAGAAGTCACAAAGGGATTGAACTTCACTTTGACCCCTGGTTCTTCTGCAATGGCCACAAAAGGGAAGAGAGACCCACATGCTGCTTCTGGTTTTTTACTTTGCCGATAATGGCCTTTGAAGCACTGAAGTTTTTAATTTTGATGAAGTCCAATTTATCTACTTTTTCTTGGCCAGCTGCGCTTTAGGTATCTTACTAAAAAATCACTTCTCAAATCCCAGGTCACAAAGACTTACACTGAAGTTCTCCTTGAGTGTTTTAGTTTTGCTCTTTGACCCATTGGGGGTTCATTGCTCTGCACGGTATGAGGTGTGAGGGTGCAGCTTCCTTCTTTCGCATGTGGATAGCCAGTTGTCTGGGCACCTCTTGTTGAAAAGACTACCTTCCCCTTTTGAATGGCCCTGGCCCCTTTGCCAAAAAATAAATTGACCATAACTATATGGGTTTATTTGTTTATCTCTGGACTTTCTATTCTAGTTCATTGATTAATAGGTTTATCCTCTGCCAGCCACACCCTATCCTGATTATTGTAACTCTGTCATAGGTTTTGAAATCAAGAAGTGTGAGTCTTCCAATTTTGTTCCTCATTCTCAGGACTGTTGTGGCTATTCTGGGTCCCTTGCATTTCCATGTGAATTTTAGATCCCCTTATCTGTTTCTGTAAAAAAAAAAAAAAAAAAAAAAAAGCCAGACCGTGCTATTTTCTCCTTTTTTTGTTTCGTTTTCTTTTTTTTCCTGGCTTGTAGATTTTCTTTTGTGCCTGTTCCTGGGTGCTGGGCCAGCCCCTCCAGGGGGAGCAGAGCTGGAACAGGACTAGAGAGTCAGTCTCCATGGCTTTGTGCCTGCTGCACCGCAGGTGGATGCGCCTGAGCGCTGCTGGGCCGTTCGGTTCTCTGCCTGCCCAGCCTCTTGCCAGGTCTTGGCTGGAGATGCCTCACCCTGCCCCCAGCAAGGCTGGCAGTGCAGCCGTGAAGGAAGTGACTAGAGAACAGCAGAACTCCATGCCCACTTCCAGGTTTCTATTTTTACTCCTTTTGTAAAAATGTCAAGTTGCTTACCAGAAGGTCAGCATCACTGCTGCTGAGTCCAGGGGTCCAAGCCTCTGGGAGGTGTGGCTGGGAACACAGCCACCATCATCCTGTGTGGGGGGCAGTCATGGTGACGAGGGCTCCCTTCTGCTGGGCACCATGGTGCAGGTTGTGAGAAATGCTTCCTGCACATCCTCTCGCCCGAACCTCACACACCCAGGGCCCGGAGCTTCTCTTAGACTTATTCCCCTTTTACAGATAGGGCAATGGAGGAACAGATAGCTGTTGTTTATTTCTTCAAGGATCTGTAGCTAAGAAGTAGTGTGTGTGTGTGTGTGTGTGAAGCTTTTAACCACTGCCTCTTCAGTGGTTGGCCCCTTCACCCTTAATTTCTATAATTGCAATGATCAACATCATTGGCCCTTATCTACCTGAAAGGGTCAAGTTCAGTCATAGCCAGGAGTGAGGAATGAGCCTGCAATGAAGGGCAGACCCATCAACGGCCTGGTGCTGTGGTTGATTTCTGGCCGCAGTAGGCAGCAGGGCGGCCTGGGGGGCACTGCCGGGGTGGCCAGGGCTGCCCAGCTGTCTCAGAAACCTTTGTTCCCCTTGGATGGCTGCCACCCAACATGATGGGGTCACTGGTCATGGCCCCATTATCACTGCTTTTCCCCTGGACCTGTGAGCAGCACCAGGAAGGAGAACGGTTGCTCCTCTTTGCTGCTCCGAGATTGGGGAGGACACGGTCCTGCCTTAGAAGCCTTCGTTTCCCTCAAAGGCGAGAATGGCTAGTTGGCAGCTCCTGAACTGCTCACCTGGAAGGAGACCTGACAGCCTGTTCCCTGAAGCATTTCTTAGAATTTGTGTGGTCTGCAAATGTTTCCGAGCGGGCTCAATGTCAAGCACACACACACATCAATGTTTGAGTACTAAGTTATCTCCGTGTGAACCCCCAGATATATCCTACTCATCATAAAAGATACAGAAATATGAAACATTTTAAAGGCTGTCCTTTACTCAGTGGATTGGCTCCAGACACCCTGAGCCAGATTAAAAATAGCATGGACTCAGTTCTCCCCCTGACCCTGTCTCTTATCCCACCATCCCCCTAATGAAGGGGGCAGATTTTGTTCAGTACTGTGTGTTGGATACAAAAGATATGTCTGCCTTCCAGGCTTATCCAGAACCAGATCACCGCCCAGGGGCTCGCCTGGTTTGCAGACGCACTGCAGAACAACACCGGCATCATGGAGATCTGGTAAGATGCGTCCCCTGCTACTGGTGGCCATGGGTATGTGCTCAGCACCCTCGGCTGCGCGCCTGGTATAGTGGCGGGCGGTTCCCATTCATTCCCAGCTGCCCTCACACCTGTGATCCCTTCCCAAGAACTAAACCCATTTCCTGTTGATTCTATTGTTAGGGTGCATCCCACTCCATTATAACGGCTTTCTGTGTGGCTGTCCCCTCCAGACTGTGAGCTCCTTGAAAGTAGGGCCTGTGTCCTGGTCACTGCACTGTCCCCAAAGGTTTGCTCTGCATCTTCACTTATTTGTTGAACAACCCAGTGCTTGAGTGCCAGCACTGTGTTGGCCCTGAAAACCCGGCTTTACCATGTAGTGAGGGTGACAGGGTAGAAAAGTCACTCAAGAACTCCTTTAATGACAGTCCGATGAGTGCTATCAAGGGGAAAGCTGGGGAGGGAACCTAATGCAGGCGAGGTTTTGGGGATGAGGCCCTTAAGGAAGTGGCATTTAAACTCAACCCCTGCAGATGACTAGGACTTAGTCAAGTGGGAGGGAAAGTGTCCCGTGTAGGGGGAACAGCATATGCAAATGCTCTGAGGTAGGAAGGAGCATGATGCCAAGCAGCCGATGTGCCCGGGGTTCGGACAGTGCGGAAGAGGCGCCAGCAGCAGGCGGAGGACACAGAAAGTCACCGAAGGATTTGAAGCAAAGAAGGATGTGGTCGGATTTGCGTTGAAAAGAGCACTGTGGCTCCTCTAGGGACGTGGCTTTGAGGGCACCGGAGGGCATGTGACGGGCCTGTGGGGACAAGGCCGCGAGGGGCGCAGAGGGGGCGGCACTCCCTGACCTCTCGCTTGTTTCCTCTGCTTTCCTCCAACAGCCTGAATGGAAACTTGATCAAGCCCGAGGAGGCCAAAGGCTTTGAAGATGAGAAGCGGCTTGTCTGTTTCTGAGAGGACGCTTTCCTGTCCGTGGGGCTGGGCCCTTGGGGGGCTCCCTAGCAGCCACCACCAAGCTGGGCGGTCACTTGGTCTGGTCACCTGGTCTTCTGTGTCTCGGAAGGGGTCCACTGAGATGGTAGGATGGGACCGCCTGCTGGGAGCCTCTGCCTCCGTGATGCAAATCAACCTCCCGCAGGTGCTGAGGGGCAGACACTGAACTCCCCGCATCGTAGGGAGGGGGGGGCTTTGTAAGACATTTTACAGTAAGACGTTTACTGTAAACATGCTATGAAGAGATGTGAATGCATGTCCACGATCACTTTAACCTGAACCTAGAGGAATAAGACTTGGAGTTCACCCAAACGCCTGCCCTGAGGATGGGGGTGGGGGGCAGTGAGCTGGCCACTGCTGTAGTCATGGAACGACCGAGGGCTCGGCGCAGAAGTTGGTGCCGAGTTTCTTGGAGGAAAGATGCTCAGCAAACGAAACGTGTTTGGCCTGATGTATTCTCCTTGCTCAGTCCCTCCCTCCACGCGCAGCTATTATTCCCACTTCTCAGCTGTAGATTCTGAGGTGTGTGCAGGGTGGGGAGGCAATCGATGCCAAGGAAAGAACTCGTCACAGGCTTTAGTTTGAATCCTGGGGTGTCACTGCCAACAAAGACCCCTGGAGCAGGTCTAAGGGAACAGACAAGGCCTCTGTAATGCTGAGTTTCCACTTGGGGCTTCCGCTTGGCTCGGCTGACCCTCCAGGAGACCAGTACTAGGGGCAAAGCCCCTGCCCCGGAAGAAGCACTGCCCGCCTCCGAAAGCAGAGAGGCATGGTGCACGTCTGTGGCCCTGACACCCCCACAGAAGTGCCCCTCTCTCGCCCTCCTGAGGAAGTCTCCTCCTGCCCCTGTGAAGTTGGGGGGCTGCTGGGCTGGAGCCAAGACTCGGGAAGCTGCTGAGAACCCGGCTCGCAGAGCACGTCAGACTGACCGCCACGGTGGGCACAGGGCGGATGCCGAACGGGGGCACGGGGTGGCGACAGGACCAGGTAACTTGTGCTCTTACCGATTCATTTGTTAATAAAATAGTGAACACACTCTTTCTAACTGCCGAGTCTGGGATTTTTTTGACAGGGACTGCATCTGGTAAGCATGCTCTGTTACCCAGACCCCATGCTGACCCCTGCAGAGTGCCGGGGTGGGGCCCTGGGGTGACATGCTGTGGGGACAGCCTGTGAGGGAGGGTCTGAGGCCTCATCATTTCCTTCCCTCATAGGCCTCTCCACCTACGGAGAGGCCAAAAATCAGCTGAGGAAGCGACAGAGGACTCTTCATCTGGCCACCAGATCCAAACAGGCCACTTGGCAGAGGAAATAACTGGAGGCAGGGGTGGCTGGGGCTATGCTAGCCTGGGCCGAATGTCACGGCCCTCTCCACTGTGCCCAACAGGTCCTGGCAGGCCCATCTCCACGCGCACTACCTCCCTCGGCTGTTCTACTGAGGGGAGGGCCCGGTGGGCCGGTCACTCACCGTGGCAAGAGCCCCCGCCGGTCGTGGTGGAATGTGAGAGGGGAAGCGGCGAGGGGCCCTCCGACGGTACCTTGCACTCTCGGAGGTGTGGCCTGCTTGGCACAGCAGCCCTGTTAGGAAGGGTGCAGACCAAGAAGTTACCCTGAGTGTCCCAGAGAAAATTCTGTGCAGTCACTCAGCCACAGGGCGGCCATTCCCATAAGGCACGGCTCTGGCGGTTCCTACCCGACCCTTTCCTGCCCCCAGACCTGTGCATTCACCCAGTAGTCACCCCCCGAGGCAGTAACTATCTCCCTACCAGAGACCCTGGGCAGCAGAGATACCCAGAAAGCACAAGGGAGCGTGTGGGCGTGGAAGGCCGGGTGTCTGGGGCGGACCTCAGATGCACGGGTGCCAGAGCCACACTCCTCATCCCATAGATTCTGATTTGATTGTACCACTGACTCTTAACTTTTGAGAGTCCAAAATTTATCAGAAACTACCAAAGATGACTGCTTTTAGAGGCTATCAAAGTGTTCATGGTGTTGCCTTACATTTTATTTGGAAATATTTTAGTCTTCTAGATAGTGAATGATAGATTTTCCCACTTCTCTCATAAAAGTAAAATCAAGCCCCTGATTTGCCAGAAAGCTTCTCCATTCACTCCTCACAGGTGAGCTTCTAGGCAGAGATGAGGTTACTTTTCTTACACAAGGAAATGACACTTGTCCTGCCTGGGTAGCTCAGTTGGGGTATTGTCCTGATACGCCAAGGTTTCAGGTTCAATTCCCAGTCAAAGCAAATACAATAATCAACCAATGAATGCATAAATAAGTGGAGCCACAAATCGTCTCTCAAATCAATAAATAGAAAAGAAAAGAAAAAGACAGTTGAAAATTGAAAAAAAAAAAGAACTCCACAAACTTGGGATACAACTGTCTCTTCCCAGGATGTCTGGGTGGATTTGGGGAAAGAAATCACAGCTCCCAGATTTCAGACCTACATTTCTGGCATGTTCTTGCTGACTTTGAACTTATTAAAGAAGCCATTGAAGTCACTGCGTGGCTTTGGGCCAGGTCCTAAGGTTGCCAGAATCTCAATTTCCTCCTTGAGAAATGGAATCCGAGGGCGCTGATCCACGGCGTGGGTGTGGAAATGAAAGGAGCCGATGGAGGCTGTCAGCGCGGTGCCCCGCACAGGCCACTGCGGTCCGTCTGCGCTGGTCGTGGTGAGGCCGGTGCTCTTCTTTTCTACTCCCAGTGGAAGCCCACATCATTGTCGTCTCACTCTTAGGCACAAGGAACTTCCCAACAAGATCCAATGGGGGCTGGAAGTTCTCCAAGTCAAGTCCAAAGTGATTCGACATCATGCTTTTGGTAACATCCTAGCTTTGTGTGTGAAAAGCGTGGGCATTCACCATTATTGTACCAAAAGTCCTACCATGGAAGTGTCACTCACTGAACCAGGAAGATGAGTCCCCAGCTCTGTGGCACAGCAGGGAGCCAGCCCGCTACGCAAAGCCAGGTCCACATGCCTTAGAAACGGAACCCCTTCCGTTCTAACTGGGAAGGAGCATTGGCTTGTTGATATTTTGGTCCACTTCCGGTTGTGGCATACGTCTATTTCCAGTAACTGATTGCTCACTTAAACAAACAAACAAACAAACCCAACTTCTGGTCAAGATGGAGGAACAGGTAAACAGGCCTCGCCTCCTCTCACAACTACAGAAAAAAATGGTAGCTAGACCTCCAAACAGCTAACACCCAGAACTGTCAGAAAACCGAGCTGCCTGGACAACCGAGGATCTGACAACCAAGGATTTAGACACCACATTCATCCAGATGGGTAGGAGGGGCAGAGACACAGGGATGGGCGTGGTGGATAAAAGTTGAGAGGGATACTTTGGAAGTGAGGGATCCCAGTGCCAGGCCAGACCACACAGCCCATGGTTCCAGTGCCCGGGAGATGAATCCCTGTAACTTCTGGCCATAAACAGCCGTGGGAGTTGGGGCAGAGGAAGGAATTGCCGGATTTTCAGGAGACCCTGCTCAAAGGGCCTGCACAGACTTAGAACTTATGCAGACCCACCCCCTCTGAGACTCAGCACCAGGGCAGCAGCTGGAAGGGCACCAGTCCCATACAGGGAGTAAGTGAAGTGACTGGAAACCGGGCGAGTTCCAGGCAAACCCTCAGAAGCCAGGCAGTGGCACTGTCCTTTCTCTGAGCCCTTCCCCCACACAGAGCCATGAAGTGGTGAAGCAGGTTACCCCACCCTGGCAATTACCTGAGGCTCCACCCCACACAATTTACAGGTGCCTTTTCTAAGACAGGAAGTCAAAGCAGCTCTACCTAATACACAAAAACAAATATGGGGAGGCTTGCCAAATTGAGAAGGCCAAAAAATATGGTGCATATGAAAGAATAGAACAAAACCCCAGAAAAAAAACTAAAGGAAATGGAGATAAGCAACCTATCAGATTAACAGTTCAAAACACTGGTTATCAGGATGCTCAAAGAACTCACTGTGTACTTCAACAGCATAAAAAAGACCCAGGGAAAAAAGAAGTTTGTGTGGTTACATTAAGTGAAATAAAGAAAAATCTACAGGAATCCAACTGTGGAGGGGATGAAGCCAAGATTCACATAAATGATTTGGAACATAAGGAAGAAATAAGCATCCAACCAGAACAGCAAGAAGAAAAAAGAATTTTAAAAAATGAGGATGGTATAAGGAGCCTCTGGGACATCTCCAAATGTGTCAACATCTGAATCATAGGGGTGCCAGAAGGAGAATAGGAAGATCAAGAAATTAAAAATTTATTTGCAAAAATAATGAAAGAAAACTTCCCTAATTTGGTTGTGGAAATAGACATACAAGTCCAGAAAGTACAGAGATTCCCAAACAAGTTGGACCAAAGAGGACCACACCAAGATACATAATTTAAATGCCAAATGTTAAAGGGGAATCTTTGTTTTTCAAATTGTATTTATTTATTTTTCATTTAAAAATATATTTTATTGATAATGCCATTACACTTGTTCTATTTCCCCCTTCATTCCCCTCCACCCTGCATACCCCCTCCCCCACCATTCCCCCCCTTTAGTTTATGACCACGTGTCTCAAGTTCTTTAGATTCTGTATTTCCCATACTATTCTTGCCTTCTTCCTATTTTCTACCTACTGTCTATGCAACTTATTTTCTGTACCTTCTCCCCTCTTCTTCTTCTCCCACTCCCCTGTTGCTAACCCTCCATGTGATCTTCATTTCTATGGTTCTGCTCCTGATCTAGCTGTCCTTTTAGTTTGCTTTTGTTTTAGGTGTGGTTGTTAATAACTGTGAACTTGCTGTCCTTTCACTGTTCAGGTTTCTTTATCTTCTTTTTCTTAGATAAGTCCCTTTAACATTTCATATAATAAGGGCTTGGTGATGATGAACTCCTTGAATTTGATCTTATCTGAGAAGTACTTTATCTGTCCTTCCATTCTAAATGAAAGCTTTGCTGGATAGAGCAATCTTGGATGTAGGTCTTTGGATTTCATGACTTGGAATACTTCTTTCCAGCCCCTTCTATCCTGGAAGGTCTCTTTTGAGAAATCTGCTGACAGTCTGATGGGAACTCCTTTGTAGGTGACTGTCCCCTTATCTCTTGCTGCTTCTATGATTCTCTCCTTCATTTTAATCTTGGCTAATATAATGATGATGTGCCTTGGTGTGTCCCTTCTTGGGTCCAACTTTTTTGGGACTCTCTGAGCTTCCTGGATTTCCTGGAAGTCTATTTCCTTTGCCAGATTGGGGAAATTCTCCTTTATTATTTGTTCAAATAAGTGTTCCACTCATGGCTGTTCCTTTTTCCCTTCTGGAACCCCTATAATTTGGATGTTGGAACATTTAAAGATGTCCTGAAGGTTCCTAAGCCTCTGCTCATTTTTTTGAATTCTTGTTTCTTCATCCTTTTCTGTTTGGTCATTTTTTTCCTCCATCTGGTCCACTCCTTTGATTTGAGTCCCAGTTTCTTTTCCATTACTATTGGTTTACTGTGTATTTCCATTCATTTCAATTAGTTTAGCTTCCATATGTTCCTCTAATTTGTGACTAAAATCAACCAGTTCTGTGAGCATCCTGATCACCAGTGTTTTGAACTGTGCATCTGAAAGTTTGGCTATTTCCTCATCGCTTATATTTATTGGCTCTGGGGCTCTGAGTTGTTCTTGAGCCATGTTTTGATCTGTTCGTGCCTGTTACCTTTGAGGAGCGAAGCCTTAGTTTTTCACCAGGGTGGGGCTACCCAGGTCGCGGGTTTGTGATGCCGTATGTGGGGGCGAGGTCAGAGAGGGACAATGGTGGTCCCCTCTGCCGCTGGGGCCTGCGCGGTCCGTCTCACTGCTGGCTTCTTCATGGGTTTATCTGCATGCTAATGCGTGACTGCGGTCAGCCCTCAGTGAGTCCACTGCCTTGTGCCCTCAGTGGGTCTGCCCACTTCTCCACAGCTGGGATCTGCCCACAGCTCCTGGTGCGTCTGGGTTGTGAGCCCGGGTCAGTCAGGTGGATCTTTCCTGCCCGACCCTGCTCTGCTGCTGGCTCTGCCCCTCTTACTGGTTTGGC